ACACCGTCCTTGTCTATACACAATGACATCAGTTAGTACCTACATACCTGCACAGATAGGTATACTAGTATTTTGTTAAAGTATCTCTCCTACCTACCCCAGTCACGACATGCCCCTGCACCGATAAATCGCATTATGGCCCACGTGTAGGGAATACATTTTTAATCTTGTTTCCTTTATATCATGCGGCTCAGAAAAGGTGGGTAGTGGTGGATGGTACGCCTCAGCAAACTACCTTCCTAAATGTAATTTTGAGTAGTGAGATTAAGTTTTCTTAAAATAATTTCGTAATGTCGTGTTGAGCAGGAATAAAACGAACTTTCGAAAAGAAAATAAACAACTATATACTATAATACTCGTACCTACAACATAACGAAGTTAATACCCCGAAATGTGCCTTATTTTTATATAAATGGAGGTAGTTTTTCTTTATAAAAAGGTGTAAGAGGCAGGTTTAGTGAAGTATTTGAAACCTAAGCCGCAGTTCTAGACTTAAGTGCGATGCACATTCAACACGTAAACATATCATCAACGTTACCAAAAACAAACACGTCAAAACAGCGCGGTAACGTTAATAACGCTCACGTTGCCATCCATAGCTCTTTTCATTCGGCACGAGCCGGTGCAGGCTGTGTCAAAGCACGTAATTAGTATTTAGGAAGGTGGTAAGAAAGGCGAGGTCGTGGGCCAGACGTCGGGTATCGATCCGACGACCTACCCCACACTCACCTCCCAAAAGGGTGGGAAGTGGGGAGCCACGCACATCGAGCCACCAATTGACACACTTAAGGTAATACTTGGCACTTACGATGTCGCCTCACCGTACTGATGGCCAACGGAAGCAAAGCTTGTACCTACCTACGCCAAACTACCTCATCGACTAAACAATCACTAACCGGATGGTAGCTATGTTATCGAGAACAAAGAATGTACGTATCTCTTCAAAAACAATCGGATACAGCAAATCATATTGTATCTACGATTATTGTTGTTAACCGAGTAGCAGAAGTAGCTGAAAATTACAGAAAGCTCGACCCAGTTGGCTCCGAGCCCGTCCGTACATCGGAACATCGCGCTCTTGCTTATAGAAGACATGTATCTATTTTATTTAACCTTGGCGAACTGTAAACAAATTACTCTGCATTTCTAAGACTGCGATGTGATCTGATCTTTGTTTACTCTGTATTGTTTATTTGTGAATATTGCTTAAATATTAGCACAACTTTGATTAATGTCTTTGTTGTCCTGTTTAGAATTCTGTTTCTATGAATTCTGTCTCAACATAAAGGGTAGTGCATATCTTCATGTTTCTGGAGACAATATACTTCAGCAAGTATATATATATATATATGTATAAGCTTTTGTATATTACTAGACAATGCCACCTGCATTAACTAAACCACCTTAACCACCGTCTGCAAATTCGCAAGCCGTTGCTTCAAAATACCTACATATGTATCTTTGTTGAAGTAAATTGTAATCATGCACTTGTAATAGCAATTTACTACCTTTTAGTTATTTATTTTCACCTATCGTTGTAATAAGCTGTTCTACAAACTCATCAAACCGAAAGTCCCAACTCTCAATGAACCATTTAATGTAATGAACTAGGTATCAAGTTAATGTGTTCTTCGAACCTGGTAATTAAATACCGAAGATACTTAAGAATTTCGTTATAAGCTCTTGTAGAATTTATGAATGTGAAACCTTTCTCGAAAACCTAGGTAATTCCACATTCAATTCCCTTTATCTCGCTTTTCTCAAAACTAAATTCTCTGTTCTTTATAAAGGCAATTTCCGCAAAAGGAATTACTGGTGAAAATAAGCAGAGCACGCAGATTGTCCGGAGCGACGTCGCGTCGGCGCTGCACTTTGGGGTTGAGGACTAGGGGTGGAACATTGGGGAGGTGGGTGGTGTAAAATCACCCGCAATCATTTATACCCGAACTGCCTGCAGAATTACTAGCCGTCACTAAATTCACGACACCACCCCTTGCACCAACTTTATTATGGCTTTCTCTAACAGCATAAAATTGAAATTGATAGGAATTATTTCTTGAGAATTGTAAAGGTAAATCGTGTTTTCAGAAAGGTTTGTTTGTTGAGTCAAGTTTTCAGAGGTAGCTTATTAGGTAGAAAAGCTTTTTTACGGTTAAGTAGGCACGAACTTTAAAGCTTATGAAAGTTTAAGACGCTTCAGTAACTGCACTTAGTGATGATAGCATTAAGAAGTTGTTATCAGACAGACAAAATAAGCTTTTGGTGCATAGGTACAATATAAAGACTGATATGTAGATATCTACTCGTATTACAGTTAAAAAAGTACATGCTGTTTTACTTAAACTGCCTATACCTTTCCAGACACTTCTTAAGTTAATACTTAACGATAATTTAGTTTCAAATCTTAACTATCAAACTCGTGTCATTTTTCTTTGTTTCGATAAGGAAGTTATAAGTAAGTATATATTAGGTAGATATTATTTATAATGGTGGATCCTATTAAGTTAGCAGTTATTTTATAACGTGATAGATATAAGAACGAAAATGATTAATTTTATTGGAATTACATATCTAGGAGAAAAAAGAAAACGGGATCGTTCAATTACGTTGTGTTACCAGTAAATTACAAATAAATATACGAAAAAAAACATTTCGTCACCAAAGCACTAAAATTCTTTTAAACTAAAAATAACGTATACCTAGTTTAACATAGGTACAATTACAATGCATGTAGTCTCGTTACGTTTACGTCCAAATAAACTTTAAGACATAAAGCAAAATAAGCTCCCTCTATGCACGTATAATATACCCCACGCCAGTAAATAGGTAGGTTTGCACATTGACAGCATTTGAGAGGCAACACGAGGCCACGTGGTGAGATGCGACGTAGCTATTTGTGTCAGGAGCTGTACCCGTGACCCACTTCGCAAACACCCCTCCGAGCCGCGTACTAGCGAACAGCGAGTACCGACACTGCCGTATATTTTGGTCTAGGTTATGTCAAGTTATATTGCCGCCATTACAGTTTTACGTTAGGTAGGTATCCTCAGGAATAAGATAGAATTTTTAAATAACGGTTCAATAACTATATTTTGTTCTTGAATAAGAATCGAATTTGTTTTAATAATAGACTGAAGATAATTTTATTATATATATTTGTTTAATTTGTATTTATTTTAGTGACCTTAGCTACTTGTTCAGTGCATTGTATGTAGGTAAGGTATGTTCTCGTAGGAAAACAGCATTGATCAATCTATACTAATATTTTTAAGAGGTAAAATTTGTAAGTTTGTATGTAAGGGGTAATCTTTGGAACCGGTAGTCGGATTGCCAAAATTCTTTCACTGATAGATAGCTACAATGTTCCTGAGTGCTATAGGCTATAAAACATCACGCTACGATTAAACGGAGCCGACCGGCGGGTGAAACCTCGCGAGAGTATCTAGTAATTAATAATTACGATTACAATTTTCTCGTACTTAAGTATTAAAATTATTATTCTACTATATACTTTAAACTTTCGCATTGCATAATAATACTTTACTGTTTTACGGGATTTAACGTGCACGTACCTTTTATTTATTTTTTGCTTGACGTTTCGGCAGTTACACCTGCCATGGTCACAAGTACCCTATATATTATTATACTCTTTGGTCACAAGTCTGCTGTCCCGTAAAACTGTATTAGTCTACTACTTATTACACTACAAATTATTTGCTATCATTTAAGGTCGACAATTTGTTAGTCCTATTTTATTTCTCGCCGATCTTACTGAAATCACGTAAGTTACGACATAAGTGGGATATACAAGGTGTCCGGTTAAAAATGGATAACCTTGAAATGCCTTTCGAGTATATCTTATGGCCATCCAGAAATAAAAACGAAAAGGAAAATGTCATAAGTAGTAACTACTTAAGTTATGATTTCTTGAAGTAAAAGAACTGGTGCTGGAGGAAATAGAAAATGACCCTTTAACATTCACGTACATTACATTATTCCATAACAATATAATTAAACATTGCTTCAAAAATAAATTATGCTAAATTTGTCGAAAATAAATTAATTTGCAAGTTTTTTGTATATTTTTTGATTGGTCATAAAATATAAATACTTAAAGGCACTTCAATGTTATCCATTCTTTACCGGACAGCCTGTATAATCCCAACTAGATATACATAGATATTGTACCTACAGACCAATGCCTATCACAATATCAACTATTGAAGTGTAAAAAAAAATTTGTGGTGGGGTTTCACAATTTGTGGATAGAGTAGTTGTTTCGTGCTGTAATCGAACCTGCGACACGTCGCGCGGCAGCCAGTGCATCAACCGTTTAATCATAATATACGGTGCATGGATGTGTAAAATATCTAAGCAAATGGACGACGACGGCGTGTTATATTCGGTTGTCGTATAGCCTGCCTAGAAAACGACTATTGATTGTTGGCTAATATCTATGTATGTAACTCCACTATTCCTTTGAAGCGATCGGAGTGTTATGTTTAAAGAATGCAGTTGGAAACTAGAGGATCCCTGATGCGACTCAGAAACTCCATTAGATGTTTTCCACGAATTTTTAGGCTTACATTTAGATAGCAGAATACATAACTGCCAATAATGTACGTGGGTAAAATTCGTAATTACTAACACTGACCACTTTATTTCACGAATGTTAATTTTTTATAATGTGATCATCGTCATCTGTCGAAAACACACAAAAAAACTTTGCTGTATCTACGCCAATACGAAGAATGCGCTCTTTGGCCATATGACGGAGCTAACGGTTTAAATTAGCATTCATAATGGATGGCTCGCACCGCCGGCAGTGTCACGATAGCCGCTAATTGTGATATCTAATTAAACTGAATATCATAATCGCAAGACTCACCGGCGGCTAGGAGCAGACCGGTAAATTGGACGCATTCGTTGATCAGCTGCAATTATTATCGTAATAAAAGTTTTTTCATGCAATATATAAATAATACAACTGTAGGTATTGCTAAAAATATATATTTTTTAATTAGAGACATGGTCAAGATTTGTGTCTAGCACAATGTATTTACATAATCAATTGTACAATCAGAATGGCCTTATGTATGTGTCTTACACATATAAATATAATTTATGAACAATGTCTGATTAAAAGAAGTCATATAATAAAAAGGCAGAGTCACTGGCTACCTAAACCTATGCACTAAGGCCCGTGGAGTTTCTTCAATACTGATTCGATATCAATATTTTGAATATTCGTTGAATTAAACAAATACTGGGCTTCTGGATTACTTTCATTATTTCGATTCAAAGCCTCCTCAGAACTATTACTACTCTGTAATCTTCTTCTCTTCACTTCAGTATTATCCTTAGCTTCTACTTTCTCTTCTTCTTCTAACACTATTTCTATCTCATTTATTCTATGCTCCTTGTAAGTCGGACTATTCGCCTTCAAAGGCGTGTCCAAACTCGTCAAAGTAGAATCAAATATTTCAAAACACTGCGCCTTGTGGTCTTTCATCGGCGTGTACAGCCTGTCCATATGTGAAATTGAATTGACTGCCGATTCTGTTTCCCTAAAACTATATTCTAATTCTGCTTCATTTTCAGGTTCATTATTAAATAAAGTTTCAAAATGTGTTGCTCTTAACCTTATCGCTACTCCGTCATCTATACATACTTCCATACAAAACTTATCTTTTAATGTTATAGGTTGTCCTTGCCATCTATCTTTGGTGTCGCTTTTAAATTGTACATAATTATGACTGTCTTCATGACATTCATAAACGGATAATTCTAATTCATCATCTAAATCCTCATCTTGGACAATTTGTAATTCATTCGTCATACTTGTATCAGTTTCAATGCTCTTATTTAATATATTTTCATTCTTCTCCGATTGCTTAAGTTCAGTGGTAGGAGTGGGTTTTGTACTAGGCGAATCCAGCAAATCTCTTTCTATTATTTTCGCCGTTTCGGCATCAAAACCTCTTTTAACCAAATCACTGTGTAAACTTCCTTTGTTAACATTAGGTTTGTGTATATCATTAACTGTTGTTTCAATGTACTCTTTTATTTTTGATATATCTTCACTTTCAACTTCTTTAGGTTTTCCGTCTTGCGAACCGTCATCCGACCAACGTAATGCTAACTGTTCTGTATCAGAATCTAATGAAGAAATCATTGAATGTGTGTTTTGCTTATTGTGTTTACTGCTCGCGTTTAGTTCCGGAGACTCGTGGCCGGAACTTTCGGAATTAAATGATTTAGTGCAATGCAGCTTCCTGGGCGTCGAAGATTTTCTACGTGACTTGGTTGGAGCAGGACTTACAACGGGAGCAATATGAGTATTCTTTTCTTTTGCACTTGGTTTCTTTTTCGGTGATTTAGAAAACACATCGCTTTTCCTTCTTGATCTCTTATTATCCTTTATTGGAGTAAGTCTTCGAGGTTTGATCTTCATAAATGAATTAGATCTATCCTTTTTCATAGGTGATTTTCGTTTTTTACTAGAACTCAGTTTTTTCTTTGTGTCCGTCTTGGTACTCGATTTTAATTTAGCATTTTTCGGTGTTTTTACGTTGACCTCTTTACTAATTTCAAGGGAGCTGTTCGCTACAGTAGTGTCACTACAAGATGAGATTTTCTCAATGTTATCATCAACTAACCTTTCTTTCGGTTTACAGTTTGTATTACTACTACTAACATATGACACATTTTTCGTGCACTTTCTTACTGGTCTAGAAGTTCTTTTACTGGTACTTGCTGTATCTTTGGACACTTCTACAGGTGGTGGTACATCTTTAGATGAAGACACTGGGCATTCTAAATCAGCGATTCGCAGATAGTCCTGATCATCTGGCTTGTAGTAAGACCCACCGCTAGAATAATCAGTCGCTCGTGACGAATACGAAGGTGTAGCATGTGCAGGTCTTGGAGTATCAAAGAAACGCGGCGTAGGTATATTCATAATTTTGATATCTGATATCGGCTCATCAGGCAAGGATCCTAAAAATTTCGGTGTCTCCATTTGTATATCATACAAAGCTTGTTTGTATGGAGTTTCTAGAAATTCTGATATGTTTAGTCTAGCTCCTATCTCATTCTGCAAAGATAACCTTTCTGCTTCAGGTGTTTCGTTAATAGCATCATCGTTTGATTTATTTTGATTGACTTCAAGTGCTTTATTTTGACTGACTTCAGGGAGTTTATTAGCTTCAGGTGGCACGGAAGAATAGGCAGGAACTACAACGAAAGTTGGTTTGATAACAGGTTTATTGTCAGTATTTGATGCTATTTGTGCATACTGTTCCTCTTCCTCTTCTAATTTCCGTCTCTTTTTAGACTTAGTAGGTTTAGGAGATAGTTTTCTTTTGCTGCGTGACTTTTTATCTTCTGTTTTTTCTGGTTTTTGTGCTGTTTTGTCACCTTCCGATGGAGTATCAACTACCTTCTTATTCTTCGGTTTCTTAGGTCTAGGTTTTGACTTAGGCGGCAAGTCGTTAGGAACACTGGCAGTTGCTAAAGCTCGTAAGTCAGCATCCCAATCTTTTTTCTTACTTTTTACAACAGGTTTAACTTCAGAATCTTTTTTGAGGTTGTTATAGTGACAGGTTTCTATTTTATGAACTTTAACGTCACTCATATCAACTATATTATTTTTAGCATTTTCAGTTTCAGTGAATACTAAGTTAGGACTCCTACTGACTACGACATCGACAGGATTCTTACTAGTTTCATTAGAAGGGACTTCATTTATTGTCTCGTGTAATATTCTCCTAGGTGTAGTAAAGTCTAAAACTCTGATATGTGAACTTCTACGAGGCGTAGAGGAAGATCTCCTAACAGGCGGAAGGACTTGTGGTGTATTTGTTTCACTTGCACCAGATATGACATTATCTTTTGGAACAGACGCGTTCTTCATATCAACAGTTTTTACTAACCCCGGTAGAGGTTCAGCAGGTTTTTCTTGATCTAGGTTCGGCAGATTATTTTCAGGCTTTTTAGCTTCAGGAACATTATTCGACGACACATCTATTACAAGAGGACCCAGCAGATTAGGCGCTGGCACAGTGTTAGTATTTACTTTCTGCATCTTTTGTATCTGTACAGGTTTTACTTGACACATATTCGGTGGGGGACCTGTGGGAAAAGAGGCATTGATTTTATATGACTTTTTCAAGATTCTAACTCAAGCGAAGAGATTTCACGGCATAACAGAAAACTGAAGATTGCTTTGTGTTTAGTTGTGGGAATGTGGCCAAATCAAACCTAGGCTCATTAAAATTTGTTGATGGGAATTACGGAATTGGTATCCCATATTCGTAAATCCTGAACATCCTTGTAACCTCTATAGTGTTGCATATTTCAAAGGCAATGAAAATACTTATGTAATGCGTGTTATTTACGTGTCATAAGAAAGGAGATATTCGAAAAGTATTACCTGACGCGGGCACGACGATTATAGTAGGCATCGCCATGATTTCATCCTTCGTATAACTGGCGCCGATTACAGGTAGCGACTGATTATAGGCTGGTCTACCGTTTATTAGAATGGTTTGCATTAATGGCGTAGAAGTATTATTTATCGCTGGGAACGGCTTATCTACTTTTATATCCGAAATTATTTGAATTTTTTGGTCCTTAGGTTTTAATCTAGGGTGACAATGAGAGCGCGCTTGAGATTCCAGACCATCACATTTTGGCACATTCTTCAAATTATTACTGAGATCCATGTTTGTGTTGTTTGCAACTGAAGCCCTGAAAATTTAGAACAGTACAAAAATCAAATGTTGGATTAAAATATCCTCGAACATAAAAATAGGTAAGTATATATAAAACTACGTAGTTTTTTTAAGAATGACATTGCATTCAGTATGTCCCATTATCCCATAACTACGTAAAGTAATTATAACAAAGAAACTTACATGGTTGTGGAGTTTTCAGAAGTACTGGAATCTGGCACTGGAACATTTCGGTTTTCATGGGCTAAAAATATATAAAAATTTAACAAAACCGTATACATCAAGCGTTTTTAAACGAAATTGCGCGGGGTATGAAGATAAAGGAATGAGCATAATAAACATCAATATGAAAGAGCACAAAACATTAGATTTCTAAGTATGTATTTTATCACTAATTCTTTTATCAAAAGTCAAATGTCAAACAGTTATGAAAAAACTATGTATTTTTTTAAAGGTTTTCTTTCGCAATAGACATTTAGGAGTTTTGTTGGAGAACAGATGGGATTACGTTATTGTAGCAAGCAAATCAGCGTCAGACAACACAATGGCGTTGTAAGTGCGTTAAAACTTAAGGCCAAAATAAATTAAATTTATGATATGATGATAGTAAAATTCCATAAGATCGGAAAAGGAGGATTCTACGACCAGGCCAAGTGATCAGCCTAGCTGCCCAACAGTTGTACATTGGAATATTTTATCCGTGTTTATTCATGCGCAAAGTTCACTTGAGTGATATAGGATTTCGCCATCTATAGAACATTGACGTTACTATATGCGTCGCTACTTATACATACCTCGAACTCCAGAAGCAAAATCTTGGAAAGAACTATCATTGGCACTTCTATTCAAGCTATCAGATTGAGGTAAACTAAACAGTCTTGTGTCTACTTGAGACTTGTTGTTCTTACAAACTTTCTTCAAAATTGTATTGAACTCTTCAATCTTCTCTCTGCATTCTGGCGTATCGGTGGGTTTTGGCTGTAATAATAAGTAAATAAAAATACATATAACAAGTTTCACAATGGGTTACGGGGCAAGCGCAATGAGGCACCGCGGCCTCGGTCTAAAGCAGGAGAAAGAACGGGGGTTTTAAGTAAGAGTCCGACACTCTCTCGTCTCGCCCTGGGCGGGAGAAGAGAATGTTTGAGAGAGAGAAAAAAATGTTTTACAATACACAGGCAGTCTTTAGTATTGATAACATCTGTCATTGAAGGTATCATCATGATAATCCATTGGAAGATTACGAGAGCTTTTTCTATTTAAACGTAGGAGAGCGCGCAAAGGCCTGCTCGACCGTATTGATACCACCGTTTCATATAAAACTGGCGAGAACCAACGCTTATCTTGTGTTTCACCGTGTGGAGTGAGGTTACCGAAAGTCATCTCCTTACCACCACTAATGCCCAAATCCCTAATTATCAAATCACATCATATATGTATCATATTACATAACATCCAAGCCCAGAAAGTGTATTGAATGATCGCAATTTAACTGCGATATTGTTCGCATTATGAAAGAACGCTCTTGACCAGACTCAAGTACGAAAACTCTGTCCCTAAAAGTCAGGGTGGAAAAGAGGTGGTCATTTCAATGGCACCCATCATGGCTTGGTTATCCTTTCATGTGTTTTAAGCGTGGATCCATACGAGACACGTTGTATTTTCTTTTTAACCGACTTCCAAAAAGGAGGATAGTTCTCAATTCGACCGTATATATGCTTTTTTTATGTTTGTTCGCCTATATCTCCGTAATTTATGAACCGATTTTGATACTTCTTTTTTTGTTGGAAAATAGATAGTCTCGGAATGGTCCCATGATAAGGAAATCAGGATCTGATGATGGAAGACTAGAAAAAAAGAGTAGAACTTTCAAAAATTATAGGGGCGAGTGGTGCTTTTGCATATGGTTTTGGTAGGCTTTTGACAACGCTACAACTTGCCGAAATTCAAACCCGACCTGATGATGGAGCCGGAAGACAGTCGAGGGATCTCCTTGACTATTTGGAGTAGTTGACTTGTGTTTGGGCTTGAATGGTTCGTATTGGTGAGCACTTTGCACCAAGATTGGTCGTGACTGTCATTAAGGGTCTGATGATGAGAAATTGAGAACGATGGACAGCTCAGGGAACTCCTGAACGGTTTACAGTAACTACCTCGTGTTTGGTCGGAAATACAGAGCAAAGACTTGTAAGTTGGATTTGCGGGTTAGAGTATAATTAAGATTTTCAATTTAGTACTTTAATGCCCGGTTTCCGAAAGCCCGATCAATGTTAAAATCACCTAACTAGGTGTCAAATCTCTTGTCAAGTCATCTGATTAGTTGTTGATAATTCAGTCAACCAATCAGAGGACTTGACAAGAGATTAAATTGATTTCAACATTGATCGGCCTTTCGGAAACCGGATGTAAGTGGTTTTTAATGCAACGTAATATTAACTTTCATTTGCTGGTTTTAAACGTGTAACATATGTTTGGTAGATACTTTTAGAAGTATAAAAATGCTTATTGAGGCAAAAAATCCATGAAGTCAAATCTGTATTAGATTAAATTGATAGAAAATTGACGATTTTTACAAAGCGAATTAAGTTGCAGTAGTCAAGCCTAGGTTTTAGTATCGCAGCTTCGGCCTCCAGTCCGAGCTTTGTGTGATCAGCTAAGTGTGATGTTTTACTCTTTTCAAAAAAAGCCTTGATAACGTGAACAGTATACCATATCTGTATACAATAACATTATTGTACTAAAATCATTTATCAACATGCACTTATCAAAAATTAATATTGATAGATAATGTATGTCATACATATAAAATAACGACAAGCAAGGGTAGTTCGCCGCCCTGCCAGTACCAGACTCGAAGGTACGGCGCGTTGGATTCCGCGCGCGCCTCAAAAAGCTAATAAACCACCACAGAGAGGGCCTATAGAGCTGATGTTCAGCCGGGGTTGCAGGTAAGCGCAATAAAGCACCGCGGCCTCGGCCTAGAGCAGGAGAAGGGGGGGAGAGGGGTTAATCAGCAAGAGTCTGACACTCCTTTCGCCTCACCCTGGGCAAGAGAAGTAATTTGATGCTTTTCCCCTCACGAAAAAAGCAATCGGTTTTGCTTATACAAATCCGCAACAACGGAGGCGTTAGGAGTGCTTTGTCCGCCTTTTAAATGGCAAAGGATTGGGTCTCCAGTAACTTTACTAACGCGGCTAAACACAATGCTGTGTGAGGCTGTTGTATCACTTCGATCCATTCGTCCCGAAACATGGCTCAAACTAGAGGAAAGCATGTGTTGTACAGGTACAGGTACATGTGTACAGGAAGGTCTAGGTGTATTTTTTATAATTTTGTTCACACAGATAAAGCCATGAGCGATAAACAAGTGACTGATAATTTCAATGCTTCAATATTAACATGATTTGAACCAAACTTGATAAAGGATTAATAACAATTTGTATTATGCCTGCATAATGTGCAGCTGATAATACATAATTATTTTTTTAGGCTGCATTACTGATCATATGGAAGCAAAGGTAAATTATACAGTGTGGGTCTGCCTTTTACCGATAAGCACTCAGTGTTGACACTTAAAATTATTACATGAATTAAAATTATTACATCCTCTGCTTACATGGCGAAACACTATATAATGGTGGCCTTTAGTAGCATTGCGAAACACTATATAATTCTAGTTCTATGCAGGTTATATGTATATGAAGTTGCATAGCAGCCCAGTTAGGATGGCCATTTGGACCCCAAAACCATAACCCCATGTATAATTGCATTCACAAAAGTATTCTCTAGCATCCATTCAAATTCAAATTCAAATTCAAATTTATTTATTTGCAAACTAAGTGTATACATAGGTCTTATTGCTAGTGGCACTTAAAAACTTAGTAGCCTTTTCCAGGCATTGCAAACATACTAGAGGGTAGATACTTGTTACTAATATTATACTTATTAATAATTAATTAGAAAATAAATTTACACAATTAAAAGAGATCATTTTTAGTGGATCGCTGTATTAATATTAAATAATATTTCTGAGTAGGTAGGTACTATTATAAAATTTATATATTTGATCATCATAGATATGTATATTATTTTCTGCTTATTTATGTAGTATTTTTATATATATTCACGTGTTTTTATAAATTAATATTTATTTACCATTTAGTTAAATTATCGTTATTTATTTATAGACATATTTAAAAATAATTAAGTTAAACAAAACATACTCACAATTGTACTCAAAGCAATGGAAGGGCTCTCATTCAACTTGATTTGGGAACTAAGTGAATTGGAATTTAAATTATTCACTGCATTGCCACTAGTGTTCAAATTGTTTGAAGATTGCTTTGTACTATCGTTTAATCCTTCACTGGGCTCTACAGGTACATCTTTTTCCAAAACCTTAACATGCTTTTTGCGAATTCCATGGTTCCCTGCAATGAAAAAAAAATATCTTTAAAAAATAAAGAATATTATATTCTTAAACACGGCCCACTTACATAAGGATTGAAAAATATTACAAAATAGCAAGTCATTGATTTTCAGTAACTTTTTTTTATTCAGAAATTAGACTAGCATTTTTTTCTTAAATCTTAACCTCATGAAATAACATTCTGCCAAGTGAAAGCTAATCTTATAGACAAGGACAAATAATGAAACAAAAACTAACAGAATAGAGTATTGCGTCCTAAAAGTGCTGCTAGGGCAATAAAATTAATAAATAAAAAGTATTTAAACTTAAATGTCTTAAAATAATACAGAAAAAGAACTTTCTAACCACACCTTTGCATGCCCTAGTCAAACCCCACAAAACAAATCATTTCACAAGAATCTATTTACAACTAAAAACTAGGCTGAAATTACAACTAAATCCATTCAATATTTAGAGTTTGTATTCCTTACATTACAAACTATAAAAACTTCTGATTTGTGTCCGCCTGGATTACAAGTTATAAACTCAGAACCTACAACCAGACATATTTTTATACAGTTTTCCTAATAAGATTAATGAGGAAGATTTAAGTGTATAATTGAGTTATTATGGATTTGACCACATGGTTAGCTGTGAAGGAAAGAGCTAATGAAGTCATTTTTACCAGGGAGATCTTCCAAAGCTGTTGTTTCAACACAACTATCCAGACTCATGTCCTGACAGCTACCATTCTTCTGTTTACACTTACAAGTGCCAGACACACTGCTGCACACATCACAGACATTTTGTTTTGAAGCTTGTGATGAATTTTGTTTGGATATACTGTAACAAAACAAGTGATACTCTATAACAGGTTTTGTATAATCATACCAAGCAAATTAGAAATTTAACACAGTATAAACTATTTAGTGTATAACCTAGAATTTACTTTAAAGAATACAATTTTGAACTTTGCAACTTTCTCTTCTGTGTGTTGGTAAATTTAACATAGAAACTTGCAGTAGAAATTTAAATAAGAAATTCCTAGTTAGAAATATTTCCTATAAAATATTTGTTTGAAATAATTTACCTGAGTTTATCACTAGAAGTATCCTGTACTTGTATTTTACTTATATCAGCATTTATTGCTAAAAACTTGACAACATCTAGAAGATTTGTACATTGCACCAACTTTTTCCTCAATATTAGAGGTTTACATGTCTCCACTGAAACAGAAAAACATATATTTTATGCAAACATACAGACAGTAAAAAAGGGAAATTAACTATCAGTATGATAATAAAATGTTTGGTGTATTTTATAAACTGTCTGCAGACAATATTACAATACACTTCAAATAGATACTTTCATAGAATTGGTGTGACATTCATAACACTATCTGACATACATATAGTTTAAACCAGTTAACATATTAGGTGAAGACCTTAAATTCTGAAGTCTTAAAACCAATCATATTCTAATAGGCTTTTCAAAGAACATCTTCTCATAAGTAGTGAAGTAAATAAAAGTTATAGGGCAAAAGGGAATCATGTTAGAATATAAATTAAACTGAGTATTAGTTAATGGAAATTAAAAAAAAAATACTTCTTAAATATAGATAATAAATCTTTATTTTTCTTATAAACAGTAAGTGTTAGCTTTTTTGTTTTGATCCTCAAACAGAAGTCAAAAACAATTAGCCAATATGAGAACTTTCTAATAAGCTGTGCTTGCTTTCATATCATTATGTGAATACACATTCCCCTACAATGGACAACAGAGAAGTGGGTTAATACTATTTTGAAATACTGTGACATAACACAAATTGCGTTTTTAAAATCACAGGGCATGTGTAGGGACAAATGCATCAACTTACAAAGCATGGACGTACAGACATTCAATGAACTAATATCTAAAATAAAGCGTATACAAGGCTTGTCGCCTTTAAAAATACGGAGATCATACTCCACTATACTGACCATATATTTTTACAGCCCTATATTCTGCCAGAATATTCTTGAGTGATGTCATAAATATCCTGTCATATTCATTTCTGAGAGCATCCAAGTAAGGACTAGCTTGTAAAAACTCATCATAGGCAGTCATAAGCTGCTCCTCAGCAAGATATCCTACAACATAGAACAAAGAAATCAACCATCAGTTATCCCGTCCGTTAATTGGGATTGCTATATTCCCGCCAAATACTCGACATACCGAGTACCAGTTTCGCCAAATCTTGTGACGGAAAAGGTGGTAACGACATTATTCTTCAATATATGTGCACTTCACGATTTATTTACATAAATATAACAAGAAAAACAACACAAATTACAAAATGTTACAAAATAAACAGTCCACCACTTGCATTAAATTCCTGCACATACACAAAAGTCACAAAACACAGAAACAGAAACACGAAACACACATAGACACCAGACAGTTACATTGAACATAGATAAATAATATGTTCATGTTTTTGATCATAGACATTTGGGTCAAACTTAAAACAATTAAGTTCCTGACTCTAAAATTACAAAAGTACATACAATTTAAAAATAGAGTACCTAATTTTCTAATGCCTTAAATAAATGCACATAGATCTTATATAGACAACTTATTATTGTTGTCTATATAATGTTTTTGATTTGATCATGCATGCTGCATGCATCAACAGGTCCCGCCGTGCACCACACTGGTACCTGACCAGTGTGGTGCACGGCGGGACCTGTGCTTAAGAACACTTATGCCTTTTAATTATGAGGAGCTTGATTTTGAAGTTGAGTACCTAGTATTTACATAATGTTTGAAGAAAGAGAACTGAGAAAGAGTCCAGTAACTTGTGTATCAGCAAAAAGGTAATCTAATTCTTATATTTCTTATTTATAATTCTTTGATTAAGAGAAATTAATTTAAATTAACTTGAATACATTGTTCGGCAACTGAATTATATATTCTTATGTTTGATATATAACTGTGATTAATATACCACTGAAAGCTTTCAAAATTAAAGTTGGGACCAGCTTTAACATAGTCGATTTTAATTATCGACTAATTTAAATTTTGACAGTGAATTGACAGTGTCATTAAAAATGTAACGCCAATTCGCCATTTTTGTGCTATTGGAAGCCATTTTTCAATATCAGTTGTTAAAATTTATGCGTTTGTAATTTTGTACTGTATCTGTGACCTTAATTTTGTTATTTTTTTACGTAGAAACAGTGTATCTTTAATTTGATAACCATGAGTAACACAGCATCAACACCGCTCTTCGCTTGTTCGCGTTGTTTCTCAAGACACCCTTTCGAGGAATTATCAACTGGCGAACAACTTTGTAAGGTATGTACGTCACATACATTGAATTTAAAACACGATATTGATCGGTTAATTATTTACTATGTTTATAAGTGGGTCTGATAGAATTAAGATTTGCGCGGGTGCGTCACAATATACTGTTATTTTGACGTCAGTAAGTGACGCGTTTGTTGTCTGATATTTCAGGAATGTCGCGGATCTTTCCCAGTCGTCAAGTGTACGTACTGCCGTTCTGAGTTTCAACAAACAAGGTCAGTGTCGGCTGCCAGGGCATGTGCTTAAGAATTGCGTTGTAAGATTTAGAAATCTGAAACAAAAGGTTTCGTAAATGCGTCGTTACTTTCACTCTGAAACTCGTTACAGTTCACACGATTGTAACAATTTATACATTTCTGAATCAGCTGACCTATCAACACTGGTTGATTCAACTCTTTCAGTTATCTAATTAACTTCTCTGAACTACTTGCAATTTTATTTAATAAAATCAATCCTACACTTTATTCATGTAAATAAAACTGTTTTATATTGATGACACTTGTTGGTATCACATGTATTCACATTGTTTACTTTCTTGTAGCAAATCCAATACATCATCAATTTGTAAGAAGTGTGAAGCCAATGTAAAGGCTTACGGCAAGCCTACAGCATGTGAATATTGCAACATCATCGCTGCGTTTATTGGTAAGCATAACATTCTAGTATAAGGAAAAACTTACTTTAATTATCCTATACTTAGGCATATTTCTGCACCATAATAAAGCATAGCCTGTATAACAAATTCCAATTCTTGTCCAATATAAATCTGTGAAAAGAAAGCATCATAACTCATCAGGGTGATATTTATTTTATGTTATTCTGCATAACACAAAGATTTATCTGTTATATTGTAGGTACTTCGTTGTAATTTTTTTTTTTATGTTATTGTCGTCAATAGTGAGGTTCTTCATAATATATTTTTAATATTAAAATAATCAATGGGTAATGGGTAGGAGATTCTATACCAATATAAATCTTTTTAATTCCTCAAGATTAAACTTTAGTTGTAGTTTGATATTCTAGTATGTATTGCAAAATATGTTTTGATTACAGTTTGAAAACTATATACTGACACTTCATTAAAAATTAGGTAACAAATGTCAACGGTGCGCTAACTCTGAGCGCAAGTATGGGCCAGCGGTCACCTGCGAGCAGTGCAAACAACGCTGTGCTTTTGACCGCCATGATGATAGTAAAAAGGTACATAATTTATTAATATTAACTGTTATGTTTATTTTGTAGTCTTCGAATATCTTATGGACAACATAAAACATGTTTATGTCGTAATATTTGTATAACATAAATGTCAAGTTTGACTCTTCTCGCAGTAAATACCAGGAAAAAACAATAACAAATAAATGTTTTTTAATGGATACATCTACATAGAACTTATTTAGTTTGTCAAAGTTTGTTTGTCAAACAAAGATTATTGTACATAATAGTGCTTGAAGTTCAAAAAATTAATTCTTGGTAAGACAAAATGGAACGGAAGCAGTACTTATCTAATAATGGCTCTTTGTTATTTTTAACGCCGCGACCTCCTGATGCAATCGTGTAATAAGTAGTAGTAGGAACCTAGTTAACTAGCATTGACTTGACTGACTAGTTAATTTCATAAATATTTACAACAAATACTTTATTAACGGACAAGGTCCCAGTTTTATAGTAGTTAGTGTGAGAGAGCCATGCTTCGGCACGAATGGGTCGGCTCGACCGGAGTGATACCACGGTCTCACAGAAAACTGGCGTGAAATAACCAAACAGTTGTATTTCGCCGTGTGAGTGAGGTTACCGGAGGCCCAATCCTTCCCCTACCCCAATCCCCGTTCCCTTTGTCAAAATCTCCAAATCCCTTATCCCTAATCCTTAAAAGGTCGGCATCGGCAACACACTTGTAACTCCTTCGTTGTTGCATCAAATCCGTTTGCTAGTTTGCTGACCTATCACACATATAAAAAAGTAAACATAAATACCTACTTGGTTTAAACCCACACGAAGTTAAGATTATGTTTATAAAAACAAGTTTTCCTTTGAACAGTATGGTTTTCATAAACATCCGTCTTAAGTTTCTGCTTTCGCATGCATTTCAATTCGATAAAACTAAATCTTAAATTATTAAAACTAATAACTATAGGTAAACCGATAGGTTTTTCTCTTTTTAAATACTTACTGAAACTACCAATATAAAATGGCTGTGTACCAATTAAAAAATTACCATTAGAGACCATGATTAAACTGGTTTTCTAGAGCTTAAGGTGTAGAACCAGGGTTGCGGTAGAAAGCAGCAAGTAGGCAGCTCGGATTTGTATAAGGGGGTGGTTTTATTCAGTAAGGGTGACTCCCACTACCCTTAATCTCACCCAAGGCGGGAAAACTCATTGGTTGTGTAACCAACACATACATAATACATCTTGCACCGGTTGATCGTAAAATATTTTCAACAATACTGTTAACGATTAGGAGTTAGGACTTGTGAAATCAAACATTACCATTAAAAGAAAAAACTATTATAGCGATTTAGCGCTAGTTATGTTTGACTGTTTTGACTCCTTATTATAGTTTGTAGAAAGGACTAGGTGATTATGTAACTTTATCTGCCGCAAAACGGATCAAACTATTGAGATTAGAGAACATCTGTGTTTTTGCTATTCTTAGTCCTATATTGACGATTGTCTGACTTGAAAGTTGGGCATCATCGCAATAAAATTGGTTAAAACTTAGTTATCTTTAATGCAAGGATTTAGTTATACTGTAAAGCTCTGAATTAGGATGGTGATAATTTGAACAAAGAAAGCACGATTACGATTACTTCATTAGTATTATTACTATGTTATTTGGCAAGTATAATAAAAGTGTAAAAAATCCGATGTGCCAAACATGTAACTGTAAATAATATTTCGAAGAAATGCACAGACAATTGTAGGCTGGTAAACATAGACGCGCCACTGCCCAAATTACGGATCCCCAACAAATGATACAATATTTCAATATGTGACAAAAATCCAAATTATTGTTGCAGGTTGACGGAAAGCTCTTATGTTGGCTATGCACTCAGTCTCTCAAACGAGCGCTGGCGAGAACCAAGCAGCATCTCTCTTCTGTGGATAAACATAAGCACAGGGGACACAAGTAAGTTTATTTTTTAAAAGAATCATTGCCCCACGGTAGCATTTTAATTTCAATAATACTTAAATAATATTAGTTTGTTTTATAATATTACACAAACATTATTTTATTGATTGAGAATAACGACTTTCTCACGAAAAGCCCTATTAGTTCCCAAGCCACAACGTAACTTTTATTTATAAAGAGCGTGCGCGTCGCGGCTACGTCAGTCAGTTGCGCGACGATATTTTTAATAAAAATAAGTATGTCTCACGGCAGTAACTATACATACCCTTTTATACTATACTTATTTGCAGTAGTCGCAAATATGGTACAATTAAATTAAAAACAATAAACTTCTGAATAACAAGTTCACAATAGTTTTATGGGATTCTTCTAATATATTGTCATATCAATTTTAGGTCCAGGAGTGGTCACAAGGAGAAGCGCAAGTCGGATATGATGAAGTCGATGAACTCCAATGATTCATCACTTAATGACTCCCAGCCATCGGAGAAGAAATCTAAGATGAACCCATTGCAAGGTAAGCATCATTCTTCATCACACTACATCATAGTCACAACATAAAATTACCATTAAAATCTCTCAGTAACTCGTTATGTTATGATTCCTATAGAAACCAAAGCGAAGGAGGCAATTTTATATCTCTGATAATTTTTTATAATGATATATAAATTTGACTGTTAGAGAATGCCTTAGGGCGTTAAGTCCGCCTTTCAGACTGTTTTTTGTGAAGAAGAAATAAATAAATATAAACTCCATGCTATTCATACATACTGTTGATAATTTCGAAATCGAAAATCCCTATGTTATAGTACTTTGCCTGACTTACAATTCTAAATTGTTTAGCTGGGTACTAAGTGCGAGTTATTTACACGTTGGAAACATTACCATTTTTCATTTAAGCCTTCTGATTGGTTGTTTAACTCGAACAAGCCAATCAGCGTCATAAACGTCTCGATAAAGTATAACAACTTGCTCTAGACACCTAGTTGTGCTGGCGATCGCTTGCGAGTCGAGTCAGTATTTTGTTCCTTATGTACATAGTTATAAGGTTCTATACAATTTACATCATCCCATCTCGCTTACTGTCGTGTCGTGTCTCTCTCTTTATCATGAATGCTGCTTCCTTTCTCTCACGCTTGCTTTAATTATTAGGCCTACATAACTGTTTGATTGATTTTCCTCTGTAGGTATTTAGCTGTGTTAAAAACTAGTTAATTGTATATTTTTCTACAAGTTCTTAGAAGCCTTAGACCTTAGGCCCTTAGCCGTATCATGCTTCATTAAAAAAACATTCAAATACATACGCGCCCTTTGCGTTTTATTACTTATGAAACAGCTTTCAAATCTCACCTTCTTTGTCATTTCTATCAATGAAATGAGAAAGACAAAAGTAGATTAGAACAAAATAATATTTTTACTTAATTGGCGATGGTTCTAAGTTCTTTCGTGGATACGGCGGCAGCGTGAGGTTGGGCCCTAAAACACTCGGTAATTTCACGACAAGAAGACACACAGAAATCTACCAAAACATCATAATACGACCCCGGGAGATGCAGCAAAATGTTTTATTGTTTTCCACAGGTTGTTAATATGAACATACTAATAAACGGCTTTTGTTTTCTTGTTTTTTTTCGTTCTTAGTTATATTTCGCTCCATAGGTGAGCTGGACCCCAACAGTTCTGACCATGTGGTAGCGATGACACAGCTGAAGGAGACGATTGCCAGCCTACAGAAGAAAGTTCAACAGAAGGACAATGAGTTACTTGCCAAAGATAAATTGGTGAGTTCATTCTGCCTTACTAGCCCTTATTTATTCATACTTTCTATTTTTGTAACTACCATGAGATATACAAAATTTATTAAAAATAACGATAACAACAAAAACACGACTAAGAGTCCCGCTGTGACTTGAAACTAGAAGAGCTTTTCTCGGTTAATTCACGCGATTTAGTTGTTATTTTAAATAAATACTTTCTCTTGTTCAAAGTGAAGAACAGTGCCAGTACCATATATTTATAAAAGTCATGTTTTATTTTTCTCTCGGATTTCGACACATTTTAAAAGTTGTTCGTTCAATTTCAGATCACGGAACTTAAAGCCCAGCATCTAAACAACACACAGGATCTACGAAATGAGATGAAAAACAAGGAGCGACTGAATGAGACCAAGTTTAATCTAATGAACACTAAAATACAGAATCTGCTCAAAGAAGTGGCGACCCTAAGCAAGTCCGCTAAAAAAAACAATAAAAACACCAAGATTGCGCTAGCTAATACAGAAAACAGCGGCAGTGGAACGGACAGCCCGAGCACTAACTAGAACAATTTTCAACTCTAACCCTTTGATTTCTAGGTATAATATTACTCGACAAAAACAATGGAAAATACTTTCCTCTTATTTTTTTACTCTACAAATGGTTTTATTTGTAGAATTTTTATAATCATAAGCGTAAGTAGGTTTCAATTTAACGACATGATAGTTTTTAATTTATTATGCTAACTTGAAAAAGTTTTTACCGTTTTATCTGAAGTACATTAATTAATTTATCCTGTAGCGTCATATTTTGTTACTTGTATAAACTGATGCGGGTTTAAAAGGTATTAAGTCTATGACTACTCGGTTAACAAAGAGATATGATGATAATTTGGAGATTATTTTTTGTATAATTTTTCATTTGTCTTCAGTATCAGTGTATCTAAACTGAATAGTTTTTGCAAAGTTTTTAACATTTAACATTGAAATACATAGGATAGTGCACAACAATCTAACGAAAAGGTTATTCTTATGTTTGATTGTATTAGTCTAAATTTATAAAACTGTATCATATCGCATTTTTTATTTTTGTATCAATTCTCTTGTTATTATTTTTAAGTAGTTGTACAGTCTTGTGACAATGAAAGTAGTGTATACCTAATAGGTAGATCAGTTTGTATTCACGAATACGTTTTTAAATAAAGAACTACGTTATCGGAGTAATTATTCGATGTAAAATAAATTATGAAAATAAAACATAAAAAAAAGAAATGTGTGTTGAATTAAATTATTATTAATTATGTTAGTCCGATAGAAAAGAGGTTTGATATAAGTGAGATATTGTGTAATGCTGTTAGATGTTAGCTATTTTATTTGTACACATAAATGTTCGGCTCATTGTATTGGTGTGTTCACATTGTTTGAGAAATTTGGTGCCCTGTGTTGCAATGTGCATGCACCATAATGTAATTGTGATCAAGTACCGGACTGAATAAATTCTGTCATATCAGTGTTAACAATAATTATGATTTATGAAGCAACGTTTGATTCGAATTGGTTTAAGTATGTGTGAGAGATATAGGTTAACGATAATAACGACACACTAATAAAAAATTTAATAAGACTTTATCAGTGTTACTTTATCGAAATTGGAATTAAAATTCAAACTGAATATTTAAAAAAAGACCTTATTTTGTTAAGAGTACAATAGATTTTTGGCTATGACCCTCGAGATAGGCGAGATTGATATTGTAAAGATCACAATGTTATATATATAGCTGTAAGATTGTTTTTTAGCCATTGTTTTGTGATTATTTTCCAAACTTAATGTTTTACCACGTGACGCACAACTGATTATCAAACAGGAAAATATGTATATGTTTGTTAAGCATGATCTATTGTCATATAATGAGAGTTATCGTGTCTGGATTTGCAAATAGAAGTGAATCTTGCAAAACTAATTATTAATTAAAGTTATAGTCATCGTCAGATCAGCTACATGATGTCTACTGCTGATAATAAGCCATCCCTAATGACTTCCAAATCGGTCAGTTAAATCAAAATACTTTTATGGTGACTGGTAAGTCAAGTTGTCCTAAAGCTACTACAGCGCCATCTAGAGTTAATAGAAACGACAACTCTCATTGAAAATAGCTATGGTAAACATAAGGATATAAAAAATATTGGTGTGTTTGAAAAAAATCCTGTATTAGTATATTTTGTTGTAACTAGCCTAGGTTATAGTTAAGCAGCTACAGATTATATTCACAGACCCTAGCAAGTCAACCTAAATCAATCTGACATTTTTTCATTGCATCTACGATTTTTTATCAGTACAATATAGTTACGAATCCTATGAAAAAGGTTGATCTGCTAACAAATACATTATTTTTTATCTAAAACCCTAGAAGCTGCTTGGCCATAACATCTACATTACAAATGATATATATAAGTTGTAAAAAATAGACTTCTTTGTTACTATGTATAAATATTTGATGTTTTATTGTAAAGTAAAATCGATCAACAATCGGTAATGTCCTTATTGTAAGTTGTCACGTGTGTCTAAATGTTAAGGATAGATATAAAACTAGTTATCAAAAAATCTTAAAAATATATTTCTTAAACAAACTTCTCGATGCTGTGGAACAAATATTCCAATAGATGTACGACCTGAAAAAAATAAGTATACTTGTTAGTGAAAAATGAACGAAATAAAGTGTATAAAATTAAATATTTTTCTTTTATTTTTGTAAATTTAATACGGTTGATATTTACAATGGCTTATTTTTGGTATTTATTTGAATTGAAACGACAGATATGATAAGAAAATGAACGGAATACGTCTCTTAATATGTAAAAACAAAGATTTCGTTATTCATGTGAGTGACACGTTTCGCTCGTAAAATGTTACGCTCTGTCCGTCTTCATCCGCCGTCATTCTGTTTATCATTTATTGTTTACACTTCTGCGAAAACAAACTGGGGAACAAACATGACAAAACATAGGGCTGTGCCTACAAATAAAGAGCCAGATTTTTCGGGAAAAGACGATTGATAAAAACGATATCGTATCTTCTATTTATGAGAGAAACCCACCACAACGCTTGAAAACCACTGCAACTCCTGTAAGCCAGGATCTACAGTAGATACAGCCACGAAAACACCGAAAATCTAAAGTCGACACATCCTAAGCGCATGAATCCTGATAAGTAAGTGAGTCTTGAATTCCACAACGAATTAAATTGAAAGAAATTATTTGGGGAGAAGAAAAAAGAAAAAGTCTGAACTGGGGTAGTAAGTTCAGATATTTTGAAATATCCATTACAGCTATCATCATCGTCCTTTTCCGCCCCCTGCTGGAACTGCAAGCCCCTGAGCATGATTTTCAGCTCTTCTCATCCAACCACTACCAGCCACTCTCGAAATTCTCAAGTAGTCAAATAATATTAGGTACCAACACGTACAAAGAAAACCTAAAATGCGCATTAGTAGGGTGTAAGGATGAGATGGAACACTCCGACAAAAATGGGTTAGGTTAGGTTAGAACTGTGACACTACACATCATATCATATTTGATCGAAGTTTCCTAAGCCATTCAGGCAGCATTTGAGTCAGAGGCGGCCTAAGGCGTGGGCGACGTGGGCCACCGCCTACGGCCTCGCGATACAGGGGACCTCGCGCCTCAAGAATTTTTGTCTTTCGTCTTCAGGTCGCCATAGAAAAGGACCCCGCAAAATATGTCTTGCCCGCATTAAAATTAGGTCTTGCCCCGTCACTGATTTGAGTGTTGAGGTTGGGTAACTAAATTTTTTTCCAAGTGAAACCAAAACCCTAAAAATATCTATTTGTGCACACCAGTAGGTAGGTAATAAGTATTAATTGAATAGTTTCGTTTTTTTGTTTTTAATGGAATATAGGCCTCGCCCGGAAGATTCACGATTTAAGACGTCATGGTAGGCCCTTAGGTAGCAAACGAGCAGACAGATCACCTGAGTAAGGTGATCGGCGCCGCCCATTGACACCTGCGGCACCAGAGTCACAGGCGCTTTGCGGCACGGCCTTGTTAGAAGGAGTTCGTTTCTTGAAGGTTTGAGGGTCGTTTTGGTTCGGAATTACCGCCGCCGGAAGATGATTCCAAAGTTTTATTTTGGCTACCAATCATCTATCTAATAGGGATGGAAACGTTTTCGCGTAGAACGACGGGCCAAAGATGTGGCTGGGATCAAAAATCAAACCGAACAATTCCACAGAACTTTCCCCGTGATATATGCGATACAGAACACTTAGCGAGGGTACATGCCATCGCAGTGCCAAAGAGTCCAGCCTGTCCCGGATAAAAGAGCAGTCAACGATTCGAACAGCTCATCGCTGAATGCGGTCCAGGGAGAAGCTGGTACTGGGGTGCCTCCGCCCAAAGGTAAGCACAATATTCCCTATGGGGCCGAACTTGCGCCTTGTAAACTAGCAGGCGATGCCCCGAGGTAAAATACTGCCTAGATTTGTTGAGCACACCTATATAGTTTCTTCGAGGCTAAATTGACCTTAATATGTAAAATACTTACATTTAGATGTGTGCTTGTTAGTGTTGCCCAAATGCAAGAACAAGACGAGACTTAGCCAGTCTTGGTCTTGGTCTTGCGCCAATAGACCCAGTCTTGGTCTTGCGCCAATAGACCCAGTCTTGGTCTTGGTCTTGGTCTTGCGCTTCCAGTCTTGGTCTTGGTCTTGGTCTTGCAGCAAGAGTCTTGCAAGTCTTGCAATTACCTATTAGTCTATTACTATTTATTAAAGTTTACTTTAAATCTTAGAAAAACGTATTAGAATTGGAACATTGTGAGCTTAATTTAACATAGCCATAGTAAAGATCAAGCAGATTAATAAATAACTGAAGATTTGATAAGAAATTCGAAAAATTAACTGACCTATATGTCGTTTTCCATGGAAGTAACTGTTTCTTAATAAACATTTATGATTTATAAGCTTACATTTGCTAAAACATGTAAAAAACAAATTAATTACAATAACTTGACTGTATTTTAAAGAACAATAGGTACTTATCTGTCTAGAAAGAGATTGAACCCTCAACTTAAAAGAAATTTAATAAAAGAGTTTTACGATTTATTATTTATTTGAATGAAAAATAAAATACAACCCAAATCAACAGCTTTATCATTAGGTTCAATATTATAATATATACTTACTAGAATGAATTAATATGACATCTACTACCTATCCTTACCATTTCATCCTAATCATAATACTACTTGCGTGATCAGTATAATGTATTCATTTTCATTCTAAACACTCTGAAACTTATTTGTTCTTTGGAACACCTGTAGGTACACTTAAGATTCGAAATTATTTCGCATGAGTATAGGTACCTACGCCCTATGGCGGCAATCAAATAGTGTCAAATGTTATGATTTCGGCGTGGCGGCAACGATTCTTTTAGATTTCAAAAGAAGCCGCCGGCGCGTGTATCATGACCATGTACCTACTACCGAAAAGCGGCAAATTTCTTTGACAAGTAAGTACAAAACCTTTGATTCCGCATTATCAAAGTGCCGATGGTTAAAACATAACTATGCATGCACACACCTAACTACTCAGTGAAATAGCGCTAAGTCCTAACTGCAAGACGCAAGAGTCTTGCAGGCTATGTATTGTTCTTGCTCAAGTCTTGCACGGTCAGTCTTGGTCTTGGTCTTGCTAAAAATACGCGGTCTTGTTCTTGGTCTTGGTCTTGCAAAAACGCAAGAACAAGAGCAAGACTGCAAGACCAAGACTGAATTTGGGCAACACTAGTGCTTGTACATACATCACAAAATACATGTTCTATAAGTAAGTAATTAATTAAACATATGCAACGCGTTGAACAAAAGCAGGTAGATACTAATTAGTTTAAAAAAAAGGTTGAAATATGAAGACTATTTCGTAAATTTGAATATTAATTCTTTTAAACAAGGAAATAAATGCAACACATATACTTAATACCTACATAGTTTTAGGTTTTTACACTAGGTTTGTATTATTCCGGGTATTGTTTTGAGTAAGTGGACTCATCGTGGTATTATCAGCTCATGACTAAGGTCATCGGTACCTCTAGTGCTTGGAAAGTGGCAAGTAGGGTAACGAAATATGTAACTATAACAAAACTTACGTAGGTATTTACATGCGTAAAATCTTTGCGGTTTTCCGCGGTAATTGCCGCCATGTAAATCGCCATGACACATCTATGCCCTGGTTAACGAGTTGAGAAAAGAAGTCGATGCCCTAATATACTAGAAGGATTCAGAGAATTGAGTCAAAAATAAATTAATTCGACGTTACAATACACTAAAATATTGAATAATAACTATAGTTTTATGCATCGATCTGTCGATACACTAAATTTTCGATATTTTTCAGCAATTTTTTAAGAAATAAGTAAGTTATTTGACTCAAAATTAATATGACGTCATAATTTGGTTTCATACCACAAAAAATGATCTTTTTGTTCCTGGGTACCTAAGTGCCGATATTGCTTACCATCATATAATGAGTCCAATCGTTTGCCCTAAACCTTTTTTTATTAAGTTTTTTCCTACTTATGTGTTATACTCTTGTGTACCTTCATGCAATGATATTATAAGTAAAAAGGTGTAGATAGGTTACAAGCATAGTGTGGAGACCAGTGATTTAATTGATGTAACTGTGTTTCTTTTCTGAACAATAAAGATTATTATAAAGATTATTATATAAAGCGCTCAGCAAGTGATACATTAAAATGTGGCTAACTAGCCACACTTTTTTATATTTGTCTCTTTTTCACTTGCGATTATTGAATCATGCCATCTCACTTTGACGTCTAAGCATACGAATTGAACATGTGTGTATCAGTGTGACGTTTTTGAAAATCGAATTTTGTTTAGGTAACCTATCTTCACCATTTTACTTATAATATCATTGCCTACATGTGTGTCAGTCTTCAATTTTATCACTTTTAATGAACAAAGAGTTAGCTACACCTACCCACCTTAATAATTTTTAGGTGTGCAGATTATTTAAAAATAAGTTAGAAAAGGCAGCCCTAATACCTAATATAAGTACATACCCCTACCTTAGAACATTGATGACAGTGTAGTGACTACTTAGTAGTTTTTAATTATTGGTGGAATACATCGACTTTTCAGGGTTGCGCAGGTACCTACATTGAAAAATGAATAAAAGATTAAAAGTAAACAAATGTTGTTGTTCTAATGTGTTCACATCGCTAATTTAGAAAAAACCTTAATTTGTTCATTAGATTCCCAAACTCGCAATGCGTACCTAGATACTATTTTATGAACAGTCTCTTTTTTATTTTAACCATTTTTTATAATTACAAATTCCAAAAAAAAATCATCAGGTTCTCCAGTTTATTTATAACATTAAAAACGAGTTTGTTACATATTTTCAATTAAAATCTTTTTTATAGAGTTAAAAAAACGCGAGACTCTTACTTAATAGGTACCTACCTACCTACTTTGTGTAAAATTATTTCGTGCACTCGCAAAAACCTTGAAAGCCCTGTTATCGACATCATGGATGATATAAAGTTCTATTTAGTCCAACTTCACAAAACCTCCGAACCAATGTTATTATAAGTCATGCGAAGGCTTGTACCCGTGGCTTGTAGGTACCTAATTTTTTTTTATGTCGGCAAACGAGCAGACGGATTACCTGATGGTAAACAATCAGCGCCGCCCATGGACACCCGCAACGAAGAAGTTACGAGTGCGTTGCCGACCTTTTAGGGATTAGGGATTTGGAGATTTAAGGATTGAGGAGGGATTGGGGGAGGGGGAGGGGAAGGATTGGGCCTCCGGTAACCTCACTCACACGGCGAAACACAACGCCGTGGTTTTCTGTGAGGACGTGGTATCACTCCGGTCGAGCCGACCCATTATAGCCGGAGCATGGCTTTCCCACACTTAGCACTAGGTAATGGGACAGGACGGCAAACGAGCAGGTGGATCCCCTGACAGTAAGCAATTGACATCCCCAGTATACTATAGTAGTCTTTGGACACCCCCAATACTACAGGAGATACAAGTGCGTTGCTGGCCTTTTGTTGAAGACGATGGAGGGTAAAAGGAGAAAAAAATGAGCCTTTGGTAACTTTACTCACACGGCTAAACACCAGCTTTTTCGATGTCTGGTATAATTTCTCTCGAGCCAGGCCACCCTATTCATGGCTTTCCCACACATAAATCCTTGGTAGTCTTGGTTTGGAAATTAGAAAACAGAAAAATGCTTGGTAACTATATGTTTTTTTAGATTCCTTTTTTTAGAAAAGTTATCAAATGACTTATCTTGCCCAGGGTCCGCACCCTGCGACAGGGAGAATCAGACTCTTACTTTTAGTCCCCTGTTCCTTCTCCTGCTCTAGGTCGAGCTCGCGGTGCCTTATTGTTAAACTTATTAATATTTTATATAGATAGATACCAACTAAACTACTATATCTACCGAAATCAGAGAGCCTCATGAAAAATGTCATGGTCAATTACTCTCTAACAATTTCATATCAAATAAACTACGTTTTACAGGTCATTTAGGTACACGGGAAGTGTTATAGAAAAGTATTGTATTTATATGGTTATCCGATTGTATGATTTTTTGCTTTAACCGCAATAAATCAAATTGTGACGATAGATTGATTGAATGCAAAACAGCTGTTGATATTATGTCTCAATGCTTTGGCACTTAGAGGACGCCTAGTTAATAACGACGGTGTTGAGATAATTAGTGATGAATCTATTCAAATGTTTTACGTTAAAATAGCAGCGAGACTATCTGACTTTACAATGGTTAGATAAAATTAACCAGGGGGATATCAATTATAATGCTGTCGCGTCAGAATGTTTTTAAAGACAGTGACGGCAACAAATTTAAATACCTACCTCAGATAAAATTTACCTGACTATTGAATGATCAGCACTAAATCGCAAAATCTCTGTCAACCTAGGTAATTATTGACGAAGATTTTGCATGTAGGTAAAAGATGTAAGTAACAAATGTTTTTGTTTATCTAGCACAGTTTGGTCTTGAACTTGATTCAATCAGACCTTTTTTTATATCTCAAGTGATTTACTTAACCCCATAATCTCGTTTCTACCATTCAAAACTGAACTATTGACATAAAACTCGACCTCCATTGGTAAAAAATAAGTGGTCAATGTACTTAGAACTCGTAATTTTCTTTATTTTCTATACGGAACCGCAGCTTCGTTTGAGTGTTAAGTGTTTGGTCACCGTGTTGTACCACATAGCTATGGTATATAATACAAGTAAAGTTGTTTTACAATCAAATCGCACTTTTGAATTAGTCAGTGAACGAAGTGCTACACGCGGTTGTGCCGACACGCAACGGTCACATTTTGAACAATGGAGTCGAGAATTATTTTTATTTTGTCTTTAGTTGCTGTCGCGCAATGCAAATGTCAGTTCATTCAAGTTATCAAATACGTTAATAATCGTTTAAAATTGTGAATGAATTAAAGTTTTTTTTTTAATTTGTGATCATGTGTTCCTCTTAATAAATTGGAAGTTCGTTTCAGTGGTGCCGTTGTCGTGCAAACAAATACGTTCTCTTGTGGATGGCCACAATTCCCGGCGTCTCCAAATAGCTAAAGGAAAGATCCCAAAACAACCTGCGGCTTCAGAAATGAAAATGATGGTAAATATTTTATTTTATCTATGCTTAGTGATTATTTTTCAATTTTACAATATGTATTCTTTAAATTAACGTAGGTACTAATTAATTATAAAATTATTAAATAACTTTTTCAACTTGTATTGTAATCTGATAGTGTAAGTACCTAGTCGTATTTCTATATAGTATAGTGCCTATTTTTCGTCCCTATTTTCTTTTAATTTTATTTTTAATCCGTTTTCAAACCGATAATGCCTATTCTGAAATAGTTAATAAAATAAGTATAGTTACATCATGCACGTGCACGGAATATTTTGTAATGTCACTTAACTTCTCACATAACGTAAAATTTACTTTTCTTTACGACTACCATTTATAGGGGGTGATCTACAATAAATCTTGTACAAAATTGCCTCACACGTTAATTGAGTTTTAATTTTTTTTTGCCTCACACTAGGATAATCTCTATTGTCGTGGGTGCGTTTATAAACATGATTAGGTATAGGTACTCAATTTTTAACACACACATTAACAAAATTTGTAAATCGCACAAATAATAGTTTCTTGCGGAAAACGAACCCGCGTTACATTGGAAAGCAGACTGTTGTCACCATCGGTTCTACAGACTGCTGCCATTGATAAGCCAACTTAGAAACTATATCTACAACACTATATTAATATTATAAAGAGGTAAAGTTTGTGATTTGAATTTGTTGATAAGTTTGTATGTAGAGGGTAATCTTTGGAACCGCTGGTCTGTACTATCTTTCTTTTACTGGTAGATAGCTACAATTTTCCCGAGTGCTATAGGCTATAAAACATCACGCTACGATTATGGAGCCGAGCAGCGGGTGAAACCGCGCGCGAATAGGTAGCTAGTACTTATATAAAGAAGATTCGAAAATTAGGATAAAAAAGATTCGTGGCCATTGATTATTCTGTACCAAATATAATATTTATGAAAAAGATTCAAAATTGAATACCTAGGCACAATTTTTTTTGACTTGTCCCCTAATCAATTTTCTTACTTACTTACTTTACTTTTGTTACCAGTTATGGGATGATGAGTTGGCTTCAAAAGCGGAGGGCTGGGTTAGCAGAAACCATAATTTCCACAATCCAGATCGGACTATACGTAAGTACATATACATATTTTAATTATTAGGTCTACTAACAATTGTTTACACTATTATATACAAAAGTGTTTTTTTATGAAATACAAGAAACCATTTCAAAAATGTCGCTTTTTGTTATGAACTTATGAATATCACCAAAATCTCAATAAACTTATATATATAAATAGGTACTAACAGTTTTCTCTAATAACAATTCCTGCTTTTTTGTGAATTTATGCTATCCATTCATCGAACTTCCACTGCTTCAATGCTTTTGTGAAAACTCCAAATTAAACTGTACATTAATCGCAGTTGTTGAGAAGAAGAGGCAAAGTTTTTAAGAGAGGTTTTGATACCTACCTACTTATCTATACATCAAGTTTCGATAAGTATGGAGAATAACTAGGGTGGGGCAATGTATTAAAAAGTTCTGATTTTAGTCAGTTATCTACCTATATTGTTTCGGTTCAGCCATAAGAGATTGAATGACGATGAAAATAAGCGAACTCCTTTTTTAAGGAAACTCCGACAGGCACAGGTGTCGATTCTTATTGTACACGCATAGCTCTCAAATGACTACATTGTAAATCCTTTTTGTATTATCAATTATTGGGAATATATTATATTCTGTGGAAGTCTAAAGAAGATTTAAAAGGTCAGAAAACTTTAGGTAATTTTGAGGCGGAACGAACTTTGCCGAGTTAGCTACTAAAAATACAATTTCTTAGGGATTTGTGGCACTCGAGCAAAGCTGCGTCAAGTTAGTTAAGTATTTAAAAAAAATAACATAAATATATGTATCGTTATATTCATAGATTGACGACGAATTTAGTAGGTATATCAAGATAAACGTGACCCACTATCTACCAGAGACATTAAACACATTCACAACAGAACAGCATTGCATTGTATGTATTATCTCTGAGATATTTTTTTTTAAATTTTTTTTTTTACATTGCCCCACACTAGGATTTTCTCCTGTGTCGTGGGTGCGTTTACAAACATACAATTCCACATACACATCATACCCAGACCCGGAACAACAATTAGTGGATCACACAAACAGTTGTTCCGTGCGGGAATCGAACCCGCGACACGTTGCGTGGCAGCCAGTTGCCCAGCCACCGCGCCAACCGTGCAGTCAAATTAATTTTAGAGACAACATTGCGGAGGAATTGGTTTACTGTCGTATGCTACCCAGTTCAGTATGCTTAAGCCGGGACACCGGGGTAGGTTTGAGCCAGTTAAACTGTGATAGTTCCCTAAATCCTTCGTCTACTTAATACAATCCATAGAGATTTTCCAACTTTCCTTTAAGATAGTAAAGAACTGTTTATAAGGTCATCTGATGATAAGCAATCGGCACCACCAATGAACACCCGTAACACTAAAAGATATATTATTGCTTTTCGACCTTTTGTGACTTGTTAGGGATTGCGGATTTGGAGATTGAGGATGGTTGAGAAGGGAAAGGGTTGGCCTTCCGTAATCCTCACTCATACATTCACGCTGGTATTCTGTGAGGCCGTTGATATTACTTCGGGCGAGGCAACCCATACGTGATGAAGAATGACTCTTCCACACTTGTAAAAAGTTAACAATAAATAGCGTTTAGTTATTTAAGTGCTTATAAGAAACATTTAAAAATAAGTAAATCTGTTTACATATGAAAGATAGTGTATCATGATACCGTTACATGAAATGTATTTCAAAACAAACGCTTGTGAATTTGAATGTGGCACCCACCTACCTATTCTTTAAACTAAAAACTAAAAAAACTCCGACACAATGACATCTAAAGGAGGCAATGGGGTTAACATTCTAAGGAGGCACGTGTAACTTCAATGACGAACAGACTGTATTTTTCTGTTTATTTTTCTGTTTTGGAGTTTCAAAAGTACCTATTTATTAATGGTTTGGTCGGATCAAAATTGACTTTGGAGTAAAAGCGATTCTTTTTTTGTTTTACTTATTCTCGTTGATATATGTATATGTCGAGTTAGCACTAATTTAATCAGTCTACGAGTAAATGTGTGTCTGTTCATCGTGAACTGAATTGGCAAAGGTTGCTTCTTGTCTGTGGCAGTGCCGGTGTTAGGGGGGCGTGATGAGGCGATGGCCTAGGGCGTCAAATTCTGGGGGGCGCCAAGGTCTGAAGTTGGAGTCTCTTGCCTCTCCTAGTGCAAACACCCTCAGAACTGTGCTCTACGCTCAGTGCGTGTGCAAATTTTTATTTTACTTGGGATCAGATAAAATATCTGACACTTGATATTGCTTCCCTCAAGTGGGCGCCACGATATTTTCGCTCGGGGTATCAGTGGCCCTTACGCCGGCACTGTGTATAGGGTCATATTTCTTGAGGTTCCCTTTCTTGTTTTTAGCATGCCCTCCATGAATTTCTATTACTTAAGTCTTCAGCATAATTATAGAGTGATTTATTGATTTGAAGGATCAGACCAATCCCCAAAACCCCTTATCCATAAAAGGCAAGCTCCCTTGTCTCTGTTTGTTAATCGACTATTTTGGATCAGTTTTTTTTTAATTCAAATATAGAACATAATGTTTACATCTCTATACGGGCTACTTACAAAGCTTCTTTTGTAACCAACATTACTTATAATTACTAACCCCCGGTTCCTATATTCAACGAATCGTCGTTGTATACGAACGACTATCCGTTTTTCAACTACCGACTACGAATCGTAGATACCGTTCCAATAATCATTTTCTTTACGAACGTCCGTTAGTCATTGAAATACCGAGTCCTCTTCAGTGACAGATGAGCGTTTCGTTCTAAGTAAAATTAAAATTGAAGATAACCCAAAATTCAAGATAAAATAAGTCAAATTTACATACTAATTAATATATTAGGTTTATTAGATTGTATGTATTTAAAAACTATACGCAGCTGCGTGAATATTTTTCCCTTACCAAACAAATTAAATGCAGCTAACACCATAGAAACGGAACGGCAGTGGCATGGCATTGACATTTGACATCCGTTAAACAAATATATATTTTCAAATAATCAATCTCGATTCATCTACAATATATAATTTACTGATAACAAGATACGTGTTTGTTATTGCCTACGACAACGTTTGAAACTAACATATCTACCTATATAGAAGTCATTGTTTGAAATGGATATTGTGCCAACAAAGTGTAAAACACATACATGAAATGAATTCTATGTTTAAGCTTCTGCAAAGCAAAGGTAAAAGAAATTCTATATTAACACTGTTTATGTGTCTGCCATACAAAGGTCCAACTTCTAATTATGTAATAAGTACCCAACAATATAATTGCATACCTAATTATTATGTGGCTTATACATATGCAGTTGAAAACCTATTGCTTTTTATTGTGTATGGAATTACAGTAACATTAAAACATCTGCTAATGAGCTTTCTTTATTACAGCTAAAGAGACTAAAATTAACCAGGATGACGGACGGCTCCAACGTAATTTGGCAATTGCAAGATACTATGATAAAACGACAGAAAAAATAGACATTAAGCTTAAGATATTGAAATAGGGGCCAATAAGGAAATTAATGGTTGTAATGACAATATTTAGTTTGTAGTTTGAATAAATGTCGTTTTTTATTTAAATGGTATAGAGGCAATGAATTGGTTTTTTTGTGCTATTTAGGATGTTTCGAACAGTTGTAAAATAAAATAATTTATTATTTTTTCGTTTTATTATTTTTCATAACATTTATTAGAGAACTAATATTTATCATTCATCGTTCATTATCGCTCTGTATCTTGATATCATCATCCATTAGTGTAAACTGAAAATATAAGGAACTTTGAAGTAATGACAATGAACAAAAAGGAGAAGGCCTATATACATGTACTACTAATACATATTTGGATGATAATGTGGTTACATAGGTAAATGTTCTGCAATCAATTTGTATCTTTCCATAGAGTTTAACGTTTCATCAATATTACTTGTTCCGAACAACAAATGATATGGAGCACTTCTGTAGCCATTATAACAGCATGAGCTCGTAAGGGATTTCGGCGCAAAGTCAATGCCACCAAAGGAAATCGCCGTTTCTAAACTTCGAAACATCTAAAACCAAATATATACCTAAGTTGGTAAACTATTTTCTTGTTGCAGATTAACGATTAAATTATAAAGTAACTGCACAGTTGATTATTTATCGAGTCGATATCTTACTTAATATTCGTAAGCATCCAGCAACGCTGAATAATCCAATCTTTCTTTATAATATTTTATCACGCCTATTATTATCTTCTTCTGAATCGGTTTCACTGGAGTCGGATACAATATCAAATACTTCTTTATCACTATCTGAACTCAAAATTTTTAGATTTAAAAGCGAAAACAGTGAACTTGCTTTAAAAATTCTACTCTAACCGATCGACATCGGCACGTAACCAAATGACATTACGAATAGTCATCTTGACTATCTACCGACGGTTAAAATATTTATAGGAACACCATAGACTGTCATCTCCATACAATACGCTTACCGATACCCTCCCATCCGTTAGTTGCAAGCCGTCAGTAAGTTTCACGACGAGACGTTTGTTATAGGAACGGTTTTAGCTTACGAGTCGTATGTAAAACTACTATTCGTAACTAAAACGGATCGTTTCTCAATTATAGGAACCGGGCATTAAGTCATCTATAAATTATGGCCTACATCAACATTGTAATGGGCAATTTTCCGACTTAAAAGTGTTTTTTCTTTGTGTCGAATTTGAAAAACACTAAACAATCGCGACGCAAATATCTAACAATTTTCTTGGTTTATTCGAAATGACTATTTGGTGGTTAAGTCACGTACAAGAGTTATTATAGGTACCAAGGATTATCTATGTCTTGTATATTTTATTTTCTTTGTTTTATAATAATATTTTTTTGTTTAAGAACTATGCCTAATTGTCTAGTACAGTTTGAGTTTAACAATGAAAGGAGGCTATGAAATGAGTGTCATAATAGCTCAAAATATTGTTATATTGTAAGTAGGTAGGTACCTAAGTGTCCCACCTTCGTGAATATTGTTTAGGGAAATAAAAGAATAATATAATAGGTAAAACAACTAGAGGCCCACTTCCGAATGTGCCCGATGATCGGGTCTTTTTTATGGTTGCAAAATTATCCAATGTTTTCTTCCAGCAGTCTGACACTTTCGGAGATTCGGAACGGAAACTTACTAGGGTAAACTCTCATGCAACCCAATATAATAGGCTGAACCTACTTTCTAAGGCATAAAAACCGAGTAATATTATGTTATATTTTATTTACAGCAACTGGCAGATTTACGACGGGCGAAAATTTATATTGGTACTCAACAACCAATCTCAGATACGAATTGAACCTTGAAAATGCTCTCAATTCCTGGTTTAGCGAACACGAAAACTACACCTACGGTCCTCTTAAAAGCAGTGACTTTGATGGTTCGAGAGATTACGACATTGGACATTTTACTCAGGTATGTGAACATAAAGGTCTATATTTTAAAATCAGTGTTCTGCTGTAACAACTCTTAATAGTAGATATCATTTCTTTTAGTTTTAATATTCTTTTGATCCCCTATTCGGTTAATTAGTTCAGTAAATTGGTATAGGTCATTTTACCTGGAAATTTTTCTGGAAGTTTTGACACCACCCAATTTGCTCATACTGAATTTAAATTTTGTCATCCCATTTTTCCGAACCTAATAGGTACTTACTGGATTAAATCGTGAACGATGTTTTAATAGCATTTGAAAAGGTTATCTAAGGTAGGCTATGGATACCCCTGAATAGTTAAAGAATAAAAGACATTAGCGTTTAAGACAAAATTCATTTAAAATGCACTTCACGTCAACATTGTGGTGACCACAGAGGTATAATGCACGTATAGGTAGACATAAACAAAAGAATGCGCTTAGGGGAGGTGGGCCTAAAACAGGTACCCCTCCTAAAACGGGTAGCCTTTTAAATTTGCGCGCCGAAAGTAAAATTGCAAATGTATGAGTACAGTGTGGTGCCTCGAGCATCAACCAATCACATGCAGTCGGCTCGCTACAGTGATACAAGCGCTTTCAAAGTAAGTTAAAAAAATGTTTTTTTGCTATTTCCATTAAAAAATATTGGTTTGGAATAATTGTGTTTACTTAAAAATAGTGTATGATATGTTCTCAAAAAATTTACGTTACGGTTTTGCTAGTATTGTGTTATTTTATCTTCGGAAGCTTGTTGCTACTTTTGTTTAAATTTTAAGGCTATAAAGTGTAAAAACTAAAACGTGCTCTTCGGGCAAAACGGGTACGGGTAAATCGGGTACGCCAGTAAAAGATCAGCAACGAGAAAAAGAAAGTTCCTATGAGTAAAATCCAAGCAGTGAAGAAAAATTTGAAGGTTGTAAAAGCTTCTAGGTACTAGTAAGACAAATAAGCAAAAAAGGTACAAGCGAGGACCAAAGGATAATGAAGATCACGGAACCGAATACCCATGCTTGGTTTGTTCAGAGTTATACTCATACCCGCCTATAGAGGACTGGATCAAATGCGATGATTGTCAAATGTGGGCCCACGAGGCGTGCACAACTTATTCTGGTAGAGGTTCCTATTATTGTGCTGGCTGTCAGGAATAACTTTAATTTTATAGTTAATTATTGAGACGATACAAGTTGATTTATGATGAATGATGATCGAAGAAAGTGTAATAAGTTTAATAATGAAGACTGCAATGAAAAAGAAGAATCCATTGATCTCGATAATTACCTTATACCCGTTTTGCCCAAACGCCGTACCCGTTTTAGGCACCACATGGGGAAAAACGGGTAGTTTGAAGGTTTTTTTTGTTTTTCGTTTTTGTTCGAATTCTGAAGATTTTTTTTTATGTTTGTTCTAATTTTAGATTCTTTATTAGTTACATAATTTGAAAAGTAAAAATAGAAGTTTAATTTTCTTTTCTACCAATTTTTTATTGTAAATATCCCTTAGCGTACCCGTTTTGGGCCCACCTCCCCTACCACTAAGTTTAGAAAGCGCACAGTTTGAGTTTTGATACTTTTGAATAACTTTTAGAAAGACTAAGAGGTTAGGTATTTTTCGAAACGATCGTGGAAACAATTTAAGTAGTTCAGTTTAATATGGGACTAAGTACCTAGGTACTCTACAAACGTAGAATACTTTGTCTCTTAATGTGATTTGCCTTGGTCCGCTTGCTTGCAGTGGTTGCCACTTGGAGTTATACAATTACTAACGACAAAATTTCTCCACTATTTAATTCATCAAACTCCGAGCGAACACTAGCTTTTGCGCACGTATTGTCTTACCATTGTCTTGACTGCTGTATCGGAAAAATTGTCTGTGCGATCGTCGGACTGTTGTTCCGAATCTAGGTGTGATGTGTAGGAAATGTAAAAATATGTTTGTAAACGCATCCACAAAGGAGAAAATTCTAATGTTTGGCAACGTTATTTTTTTAAAAAAAAGCAATATGATTATTTTCTTGCAGATGGTGTGGTCAGATAGCATTTACCTAGGATGCGCCGTGTCACAGATGTTCAAACTTGGTTGGAACAAATACTACGTCGTGTGTAACTACGGGCCTGGGTAAGTTGTCCCCGTATTGTCTTCATACAATAACAACAACACAACATACGTAGAGCTACAATTGTATGAAAGTATCTCGTCTGTGAACCATTTATTTTGATTGTTATACAAAAACATATGTCATTATGAATTCGTCTAGTGACGTTTTTGGCCCTAGTCATTTGCAGCGTTGCAATAAAAGGTTAGCTTGCAACATAGGTAGATACCTACTTAAGTATTTTTCTCGTATTTTTATTGAAAATAATAAATTAATGGTATTGGAAAACTAGATAGGTACAATTTTCTAACTTTGTGAAAACGCGTAAACATATAATCTTACAAGAACGTAAACATATATTGCTACATAGAAATTGGTAACAATAAACCGTAATTGTGTAAAGAAGTTCTGTCGCTTATGCATCCGTTAATAAATCAAAAGTCGTGGTGGCCCGGAGGTTAAGAAGCCCGCTTCTCATTCATGAGGGTGTAGGTTCGAAACCTGGCAAGTACCAATGTGACTTTTTCCGAGTTATATGTACTTTCTAAGATTATTTAGACACCACTGACATACGGTGAAGGTAAACATCGTGAGGAAACCTGGACTTATAATTTCTAATTATAAGTTTGAAATCGCCAACCCGCATTGAGCAAGCGTGGTGATTAATGCTCTAACCTTCTCTGTATGAGAAGAGGCCTTTGCTCAGTAGTGGGCATTTATAGGCTGATGATGAATAAATCAATCAACAAAAAATTAACGTACTTGAACTAGCTGGAAGGAAATCATCCGTCAAAAAGGGCACGCTGGAAAGCTACACATTTTAAACCTTTGCCAATCACTGTGGCTATCAATCGTGCATACCATCAGCATAAAAAACAATAATAAGTTACTAGTGTTTTAAGCGAAATTATGGTTTCAATTTCAGAGGAAATTATCTACACGAAAAACCGTACCGAGTGAGCGGAGGTGCTAGCGGAAAATTAAAATGTGGAGTGAAAGATTGTACAAGACCCTATGGATCAAAGTGTAAATAAAATATTATTATAAAACAAAACGACTAAGTACCAAAATTAAACAACAATGCCAATTTACTTATTTTTTTTTTTAATGTTTATTATAAGGACTGGATGTCTAGATAAAGTGTTAATCGGCTTGAAGCAGCTTTGTTTCTAAAACAATTGATATTTTGTGTAACAAAACGTTTTTTAATAATTTGGATACTTATGTTTTTACTACAGTAACAATTGTCTAGACTCCTTAGTAAATAAGTCTTAATTTATATTAAGCTAAAGAAGAAAATCGAATAAAGTAATGATATAAGGAATTGTCTTTAGTTTCATTTTTTTTTGCTTCGATATTAACCTTTCTTTGCGCCATCACAATGCATCTGTTTTATTCAATTTCATCTTGTTTTAATGACGCATTTAGTCATTAAACAAATTGTCACAATTTTGGGCACGACAGAAAAGATTAGAAATATTGATGAAAGTACAGTGTACGGAGTAGGTACAAAGGTAAGTACTGTTACACTACATGAAATATCCTAACCAAATAAAATAAACCAGTATTTTAAAAGTATCCTATATGTAAGAATTTACCTTTCTTATTTGCTTATTGACAAATAATAAATGGGATAATGGGACAGTCCAAGTACGACGAAGATGGGCAAGTTATAAACCTTTGTCTTCCTTAGAAAGACTTGTATGACAACGTTCATGTTAGTGACATTTTGTCGTGTCAGAAATGACGTTAATTGCCCCATCAGTGTCAGCGTTGCCACGCAATATGACGGGGAAAATCAACTGATCTGATACAGATAATTAACAAGAATTCCCTTAGTGGCAATGACTTAAATGATGGTATTGAGTTACTAATCGATTATTATCTGTTGCGATAACTTACCTCATTAGATATAATACTACCACAGAGAGGTCCAATAAGACCAATGTATAGTTATATTATATTTGAATTGTAAATTAGAAGCTAGTTCTAAAAGTGTTAGAATTGCAATAGGTACACTTAACTCAGTAAAATCACTTTAATGGCCAGTTTTAGCAACTATACCTACGTGTGGCAGAGCCATGCTTCGGCACGAGTAGGTCGGCTCGACTAGAGTGATACCACGCACGGGCGTTGTTTCCGGTTACCGGTTACCGGATGCCCAATCCTTCCTCAATCCCTAACTCTCCAAATCCCTAGTCCCTAAAAGGTCGGCAACGCACTCGTAACTCCTCCGTTGCGGGTGTCCATGGGTGGCGCTGATTGCTTACCATCAGGTAATCCCAAGACATGTACTAGATACACCAGTTGCAGCTTCAGGAATAAAGCAATTCCACAACAGATGGGTCCCAATAGGGGCTGATGTTCAGCCAGGGTTGCAGGTCGAGCGCAACAACATACCACGGCCTCAGCCTGAATCTGGAGAAGGGATGCACCCCGTCCCTTCTCCAGATTCAGGCTTTTAGTCAGTAAGAGTCTGACACACCCTCTCACTCCAACCAAAGCAAGAGAAACAATTCGACGAAGTTCCCGTTTAAAAAAAATTAAATTTCTAATATTTACTGACTGCGCCCTATGACATTTTAAACTTCAATGGCTACTCTATATATATATAAGTAATGTACTTTTGGCCTATTGTTTGTCCCACTGCTGGGCAAAGGCCTCCCCCTTTTCCTTCCAAACTTCTGTGTCTAGAGTCATCTCCGGTCAAGTTTACCCCGCAAACATGAACAGATCGTCACACCACCTTCGCCGTGGGTATTAGTATTAAATTAAATTAATCATTAATTATCATAATTTTCGGCAATCGAAGAACGAGTACGGCATCACGAATTATTGTTGGTGTATCGTAGAATGTTATCGCAAAATCGATGTAGATACCTAAGAGAGTTAATGTTGATAGGTATTATAATTATGTACAGTACATATGTACATAGGACGTTACGTTTTTGGACTTATGACATGAATTCGACACGATATGGTGTGGATAAGGAATGGACATCAGAGTCATCGGTCTTTATACCATTAGCCTAGAAGCAAATAATGATGGTATTAATTTACAATTCGATTATTATTAGTAACGACCAATAATAATCGAATTGTAAATTAATAGAATAGAATACCTCACAGAATACCGGCGTGAAACAACCCACAGTGTTGTGTTTCGCCGTGTGAGTGAGGTTACCGGAGGCCCAATCCCGTCCCTTCCCCTATCCCTTCCCGATCCTTACATCCGCAACCCTTATCCCCAAAATCCGGCAACGCACTCGTAACTCCTTTGGTGTTGCTAGTGTCCATGGGCGGTGCTGATTGCTTACCATCAGGTAATCCTCTGCTCGTTTACCGACTTATACCATTAAAAAAAAAAAACGACTACCAACGCGCTACTGGGTCAATATTCAGCCGGGGTAAGCGCGACGAGGTAGGTACCGCAGCCTAGGACTAGAGCAGGAGAAGTAACAGGGATTTCTAGTCAGTAAGAGTCTAACACTCACTCTCACTTCACTCTGGGCGAGAGAAGTAATTAGATGGTATCCTCCTATCAACAACACTCCGTGGTCATGGTGGCCTGATTGTTAAGGCGCGCTTCTCATGCATGAGGGTTCGGGTTCGAAACCAGGCAAATAGGTACCAATCGGATTTTTGCCGAGCTATATGTAATTTCTATGATTATATAGACACCACTACGGTGAAGGAAAACATCGTTGGGAAACCTGGACTTAATAATTTCTAATTATAAATTTGAAATCGCCAATCCGCCTTGAAAAAGCGTGGTGATTAATACTCAAACTTTCTCCATGTGAGAAGAGGCCTCTGCTCAGCAGTGGACACTTATAGGCTAATGATGATGAATTTTCATGAAGAAATACTCAAAAGCTGTCTTCATGACACTTCCAATATGTTTTTATTAAATTGAATTAGAAATTAGAAGCCATGAAAAAAAATTGTGAATAGACCTACACTTAGATCACTAAAATCACCTCAGAGAAAATCAAATAAGCAATAAGGATTCAGCAACATACCCATTTTAAAATTTGGTATCGATGTCAGGCCCGCGTCCTAATTTTGAAAGACACAGAAGTATTTTTATCTTTATTCAAAATAAAAACATGATGTATAAATTATTTCTTATAAATATTTCGGAATAGTATCTTAATCGCCTTGATTGATAAGGAGAGTCCGATTAATAAATCGCTAAGATATCACAATTAGGCTAACCAACGTATCCATAGTGGATGGTAAATGTGTTTAATAATTATTTTATAGAAAATGGTAAGTAAACATGGCTTGTATATGTTATTGTATTATTTGCTTATTTTATTTAGGCGGGTGTTTTTGTCCTGAACGTACGGCGCGTCACAGAGTTAATAGACCACTACCGACGGGCCCAACAGGGCTGGTGTTCAGCCGAGGGTTTGGGTCAAGTCAGTAATGTAATGGTCGTGGTCTCAGCCTGTAGCAGGAGAGGAACCAGGGTCGTTTTGAAGATACTCTCCTTCACCCTGGATGGGGTTTATCAAAGTATCAAAAAAGGCGTGTGTTGCTGTTGTAGTTCATTGCAAGCGGTTTTAAAATTATTCCATATTAGTTTAGGGATTGGTGGTTAGAATATTAATTATTTAAGTTCTGGATCTTTTGGTTGGTAGTTTCGGGGTTAAGTGATAACGAATATATTTCACGTAAACGCCAAAGAGTGTCTAACTGTCCCTTGCGTACAAATCTCGCGCTCACGTACGTTTTGCTTACTCTACACTCCAACTCCACCATACATAATACATATGTATGTACGTCCCTATATAATATGATACCTTTTGAAATATTTTCTTGAAACTTTATAATTTGTCTAATAATATTTCATACCGAAAAACACATTTGTGTTAAAAAAAACAACGTAACTTTTACACATAAGTAGGTTAACATTGAAGGAGGAAAACCAATTAATCTCTACATAGGTAATATATGAAGAATCGTTTCTATATTATCAAAATTTTATCGCTCCAACATATTATTATGATCCTGCATGTCCAACATATGCCGAGACAGCTGATTATAATTTAAACATGTGTTAATTATTCTTCTATCGAATCTTTCAGAGGGTTCTCCTACTACTCCTAAGTCTGTTCTCCGCATCATGGGCAGAGGAGCAGCAAGCGACCAAAGTGCCCAGGGCTGTGGAGATGACCTTGGGAGTAGACATGAAGCCTCCTAAAGAATGGGACAGCCTGCCCACTAGGAATGTCTTCGTAACCTGGATGCCCATGCCACTTGATCACTTTGACCCTCATAACCCAACAATTTTTCACATGGTACGTATAACTTCTATGGAGTACTTGCAGCTAAATAAAATCATGATGTCTGTACTTGTGAAACAGCAGTTGATAACAAAACACGTTTTTACTTACTTAAAATTACTTAAGGCTCATAAAAACGATGCAAGTTGCTTGCCTGTTGCATACAGTTAATTAAAAAGCAATTATTGTCTTGCATTTTCCAACCACAACTTATGGTATGATGTAAACGAGCCTTTTTATTTAATTCAATATTGGCTTCTGTTGTTCAAGAAAATGCCATCGTGCTTTTTTTACGCATTGCAAAAGTGTTAGCAGTCAAAGTCAAATCATTTATTTAAACTAGACCAGAAAAAGGCACTTTTGAACAAAAAACAAAAATAAAATTAATGTATTCACTTTATGTGTGTCTGTCAGTCTGCCCGCTAGTGAATCTATCAAAGTGATTCCTGTTGAGAAGAACGAACAAGAAACTCCATGGTTACTCTTTTTTATAATACGTATTGCTTGCTAAATATATTTTTATTTTATTTACTTAAATAGAGTCACCTAAATGAATTTACAATAGAGTGAATGTCGTGGTGGCCCGGAACTTAGGGAGCCCGCTTCTCATGCATGAGGGTGTGGGTTCGAAACCTGGCAAGTACCAATGTGACTTTTTCCGAGTTATATGTACATTCTATGATTATTTAGACACCACTGACATACGGTGAAGGTAAGCATCGTGAGGAAACCTGGACTTATAATTTCTATTTATAAATTTGAAATCGCCAACCCGCATTGAGCAAGCGTGGTGATCAATGCTCAAACCTTCTCCGTATGAGAAGAGGCTTTTGCTCAGCAGTGGACACTTATAGACTGATGATAATGATGAGAAACTAACTTTGTTATTTGCTAATTTTATAAATGTGAAATACTATTTATGAATACCAATAGATGCCTAAATTGTAGGAGATACATTAAGTGTATGAATGTACATATTTAACCCAATAACTCCAAAATAGCTGGAAAGTTTTTGATATGCTCTTAAGTTTTGAAAGTATCATTTTGATTTCAGAGATTCATGTTCAACGAGGAATTCTTCGGAGGCGATGGTTCTCCAATATTCATCTTAGTCGGTGGGGAGTGGGACATTGACCATCGTTGGTTACTGGCTGGTAATATGTACGAAATGGCACGAGAGAACAAAGGGTATCAGATATACACTGAACATCGCTACTACGGTGCAACTAAAATATTCCCGTAAGTTGATAATGATCTATACTAATATTACAAAGAGGTAAAATTTGTAAGTTTGTACGAGTATGTAGGGGGTAATCTTTGGAACCGCTAGTCGAAGTTTGTATGTAGAAGGTTACCGCTAAGGGAACGAAGGGACCGCTAGTCGGATTTCCAAAATTCTTTCACTTATAGATAGCTACAATATTCCTTAGATAGGCTCTAAAACATCACGCTACGATTAAATGGAGCCGAGCAGCGGGTGAGACCACGCTGGAGTAGCTGGTGACTAATAAAGGTGAAATATTGAGATGACATAAAGGAAGAAAAAGTCTGCTCATGACCAAAATCAGAGTTACCTGATCGAAACATCAAAATAAAAACTACATTTAAATTAGGTAGAACCGTAAATCCTGATGGATTAGTGGTCGGAAATAGGGCGAAATTATTACCTGAAGTTAAGCAATCGGCGCTACCTATGGACACCTGCAACACCAGAGGAGTTACAAAACGTTACCGGCCTTTTTGGGATTAGGGTTTCGTAGATTTAGAAATTGAGGAGGGATAAAAGGAGGGGCCTCCGTTAATCTCACTCACACGGCGAAACACAACGCTGTGGTTGTTTAGCACGGTTTAAAGTCGTGTAAATTTTCAGTGAGCCCGTGGTACCATTCCGGTAAAACTGTGGGTCAGTTTTACCGGAATGGTACCCGTGCCAAAACTTGGCTCTCCTACACTTTGAAATAATTAAGTTTTACGCCTACAACAATACTTAACTACATCTTAACCTCTCGTCTGCCGGTATATGAAACACATTAGAAAACACAGTGTGTCTCACGTAGATCTGCGCTTCGGCTTATCACGGGTTAATGAAGCTCATTTCTTGTCGATATTTGTCTCGCACGACTTTATATATAGGTATATTTTATTTTTCTTACAGAACATTCACTGCTGAAAACTTGCGTTTCTTGAACATTGATCAAGCTCTAGCTGACCTAGCATATTTCATAGTAGAGATGAAGAAACAGCCGCGTTTTGCAAACAGCAAAGTGATACTGTACGGAGGATCATACGCTGCGAATATGGTGATGTGGTTCAAGAAACGCTATCCTCACTTGGTGGTCGGTTCCGTAGCTTCGAGTGGACCGATCCTAGCTAAGGTGGACTTCACAGGTGTATACTCTTATTATCCCTAATGTTAGAAAGAAAGAAGTAAGGAAAATCATTTAAGACGCAAGCAAACTTTGATAACAATAACTAAACAAATAAAAGACAAACTAAATTAAGATTTAGAACGCCATGTCGGACAATGGTATCTGACGCTAGCGGAGGATTAGTGTTTAACAGTTTTTGTCGGCACACAAAGAAAGGAAATGGTCTTCGAGCATACTTCGAACGAGCTCTTCGAATTGAGACCTGTCCTGGCATTGAGGCAGATCGATTTCCAGTTATTTACGGTCTATTTTAATCGCATTTTAATGGAATTTTTACTTAGAACTCGGAACAAAATCTATGTAAAGGTAGCATAAAAACTTTAAATTCATTATGTAGAGCGGCGATGTAAATGGTATGGTTATTTTTCCGGGCGAAATAGCCTATAGGCCACACAGCGATGCCGCGACAAAGATAGCAATTAAATAAAATGATAATATTTTGTCACTTCTAGAATACTTGGAAGTGGTCCATGAAGCTTTCTTGCTAGAGGGAGGAGAGCAGTGCATAGCACACATTAAACGTGGAATAGATGACACATTGGCTGCAATTAGAACAGAATCTGGAAGACGCATGCTGGAACAGGCATACAGGTCAGTGTTCAATATACAAGGAAAAAAAAAATCGTTCATCATCTTCATCGTTTTCATAAATGCTGTTCTTATTTGCCTAAATTATTTTAAACTCAGAACACCTTAAACAAATCAGGGCTTCGTATAGAGTTGTAGGTACCAAAGTAATAGAACCCGGTGCTTATACTTACACCTACCTACTTAATATTGTAAGGATTGCAATATTAACTTTACAAAATAGTTTTTCAAGATGACCAAATGGTAAGCAATCAGTGCCGCCCAAGAATACAACAGAGGAATTAAGATTGCGTTGCCGGTCTTTTAGCAATTAGGGGTTTGGAGATTTATTGATTGAGTAAGATGTGGGCCTCCGGTAACCTCACGCCAAGGCAAAACACGACGCTAGTGACTATGTGGATAATGTGAAAATTCCTTGATTATTCATCGTTGTCCTATCAAAAAAAAAAAATACACACCTGTTTACTCGTTATTTCAGGCTTTGTGCACCACTCGACTATGACGATATCTTTGCTATGGGATACTTTTCGGGACTTATCACTTGGAGCTTCTCTGCTGCGGTACAGGGAGCAAGGCCGGGCAGTTTAATGAATATTTGTAATAATTTCGAGGCTGGAAACTTTGGTGAGCAACTGTTGCTTTTGTTTTTGTGATCACATAAAATCGAGCCAGTAAACACCATCACGTCTGTTCCTAAAAAGGGTTTAGTAGGTAGATATTTACCTGTACTTTTGGTACATTATAATATAATTACACACCTGAATCATTGAAAAAATATCAGTAGTAATATTAAGTCAGGGGCACAACTAGCTGGTAGAAAGTAGAGCATCTGTCGAGGGGGAGGTACTTCACGCTGAAAAAACTGCTTAACCTTAACTGCTATACTAAGCGAAAATCCGGTCTTGTAAGAAATACTGTTCTTATGTATGAGACGGCTGAGCTAAACACCAGCTCTAATCATTAATGTAGTTTGGTGAAGGTCATAATGTCAAAATCTTTGTTTCATCTCAGTGTTTATGAGGATGATTAGTACAATAAAATTACAGGATCAACTCCAATGGAACAGATTGGTGCATTCATAGCGTTAATTCAAGAACTGGAATCGAACGAATGCTGGACTATTACATATGAAGGTTTACTCGCCGCATACAATCGTACAGACAACTGTAAGTGTTTTATGAATTTTAAGTGAGTACTGCTTAAGTTCATATTAGGTACGCTATTGCGTTACTAAAAATTCCCTATTTTCGCCTAGACCTTACCTGACTTACTTATCAAGTAAACAAGTAAAGTTATGTATGTAAACCAAACACAAAAGTGAATTAGTTTATTTGTTTGTAAGTGCGGTTTCGAAACCTGGCAACTACCAATGTGTCTTTTTCCGAGTTTTACGTATTTTTTTTTAATATCAACGATGCCCCACGTAAGGATTTTCTCGTGTGTCGTGGGTGCGTTTACAAACATACATTACACCCAAACCCGGAACAACAATCTGTGGATCACACAAAGAGTTGTTCCGTGCGGGAATCGAATCCGCGACAGTGGGCACTTAGGGGCCATCCATGAAGTACATCATATGAATTATGATTCATAACCCCCATCCCTCCCCATCCGTGCCACAGGAGGACACAATTTAGACCCCTAGTGTGACGTCACATATTTTGCAATATCATATCGAAAAATCAATAAATAGAAACAATAAAATCAAGCGAGGTACGGCGCGTTTGGCAATATTAGTCAAATGCCTTGTCGGCAATCTGCGCTTGTCACTAGTGCGGATATGAACTCGTCAAAAAAACAATCCTTAAGTTTGATAGATATATTAGATTTTGAAATGTGACGTCACCAAGCTTAGGAGCCCTCCGACCCCTTGTCACACCATGTCACACTTTGTCGACCCCTCTCCCCTCTCTTTACGTGTGAAGTACTTTATGGACGACGCCTTATAGAATGATGATCTGATGCACGTATAATTCTAAGCAGCCGTTGACCTGATATTAACTATATAAGTAAGTATAAGCAACAAAAAAAATTTTGTTTCCAGCTCGAGCGTGGTATTACCAAACTTGCACTGAATATGGATTTTTCCAAACTGCGCCCAAATCCGGTACTGTGTTCGATGGCCTGACGTGGCTTAACGTAGACTTCTATACTGACGTTTGCCTAAGAAACTTTGACAGCAGGTAAGGAAAATATTATCAATTTATAACTATGGTTACAAAAAAATAATACTAACTAGCTCCCGTCCGCGGCTTCGCCCGCATGATGTGTTGATAAAAAGTAGCCTATGTCAAATTTCATCCAGATCCATCGAGCCGTTTTGGCGTGATTGAGTAACAAACATCCAAACATCGTAAATTTCGCATAATTTGTAATATTTTAAAGTACCTAATAATAATTAGTAAGATGATATGTTTGACAATGAGCAAGCAGTTTACAAGAAGTGAGTACTTCCTTTGGCCTAAAAACCTGCTTAGGTACTTGTTTTGGAGGGTGGACAGGAACGTCATCAAGCTTCTCCGAGAGTGAGTGTCATATTCATATCGTTTATAAGTACGACTTTTACTACATACTTATTCAGACTCTTACTGATTTGCATTGTGAAACTAATTGAAAAAGTTTCTTGCTCGTTCTTCTCCATAGGAATCTACACTTTGGAACGAGCATATAGCTTCACTAGAGGATAGGCGAACAGACTGACACGTTAAACCTTTTGAAATTTTTTTCAAAAGTGCCTGTTGTGGACTTCTTCAAATCAAATCAAATCAAAATCATTTATTCCAACTAAACTATAAATAGGTACTTTTGAAACGTCAAAATAGAATAGTAGTCTGTCAGTCTGTTCGTCAGTGAAGCTAGGTGCTCGTTCCAAATTGTAGTTTCGAAGTTACTTGAAAAATAAAGAATTTGATTTGATTTTGATTTGACTGATAAACACTACTAGTAAATCTTTATGAAAGTTTAAATTAACCTTTCAAATACTTTCAATCGTGGTTATTTGTGACATAATAATGTTTGATGGGATGGGTTTAATGGGTTTGATGAATTAAACTGAAGTCTGTGCGATACACAATCTATGAGCGGTTTTTTTTAGGGTCTCACATGTTTGTATTGTTTTGCATCTTCTATCGCTTTTGCCACGGGAAGTGCTTCTTATTTATAACTTCATGCACAGCCAAAAAATTGTGCATAAGGCGGACTTAAAGCAACGAGCATTCTCTTCCAGTCTACCTTAGGGTGATGCAGAGACAATACAGTGGTAGATGCAAGAAGCAAGAATTATGTATTGACTTTAAACACTTCGAGCCCCTGAAAACCCTTCTTTCTACCAACCTCAAAAGATGGTTGGTAGAAAACAACTCCAATATAAAACTCATAATTATGTTCTGATTATTTTTTTTATTTTTGATTCACAGATTTGATAAAGATTTCGTCCTCGCTGCGGCTGACCGTGTAAACTTAGTATTTGGAGGCCTCGGGCCCGAAGTGAACAATACCATTAACATCCACGGGTACATCGATCCATGGCGGGCGCTCGGTGTTTATAAAGAAGATATTTCGGAGACCTCTCCAACTTTTACCGTGGACAGGTAAAAGAAACAAATATTTACAAAAATCATTCACTTGGGTGAGAACACAGAACACAGTCACGTCTTCATAGAAAACTTTTATTAGAGAGTGGAAAATCATTAATTGACTTCTTCCGCCCTGGGCGGGTGAAAAGGAGTGTCAGAATCATACTTTTTTACGAGGTGAAGTATAACCTGATGGTAAGCAGCCCATGCATGCAACAATGGAGGAGTTACGAGTACGTTGCCGACCTTTTGCGGATAAGGGCTTTGGAGATTTAGGGGTTAGGGAGGGATTAGGAAAGGGGAATTCCATCACCAGCAATACGGTATCGCTAAAGTTGTACAACTGACACCGGTGTCACTTTGGTGAAGGAAGTATTCAATGCGTGGGAGGAAGCCAAGGATGCTGTTGGTGCGTTGTTTGCGACCTCTCAAAAGCATTTGATTGCGTTGATCATGGATGAGACCTACTGCAGTCCGAATCATATTTAGATGATAGGCAGTTGAGGGTGGTTCTAACTCACAGGGTTCTGAGATTAGAATGGGCGTCCGCAGGGTTCAGTATTAGGTCCGTTTATCTTTTTAGTGTATGTTAATGACTTGCCATTTCCATTTAAAAGTAAACCAAGAATGGTGCTGTTTGCAGAAGATACATCATTAATTTTGAAAATAGATGGACGTGCTGATAATTTTGTCGACGAAAACAGCTCCAATCGTGAAGTTCATAATTGGTTTACAGTCAATAATTTAGCGCTTAACGAGAAAAAAACAAAATAATAAAATTAGCGTGAAATGTAAACGCGAATTCTATTACAAACTTTCTCGACAAGCCTACTACAAACTTTCAGAAAAAAATAAAAAACATTTTCTCTTTTGGGAAGGATTAACAGGATTTATTATTTGTTTCACAAATCGTGAGTCTATTTTTGAATAGGTTAGTAAAATGGACTCGACTAAAGCGGTTCGGAAAAACATCCTTCTAAAATATTTTTAAGTGTGTGAGTCATGAATCATGCTTCAACACAAATGTGCGTTATACATATTATATCAGTCTCACAGGCTGTTTTGTTTTTGTGTATACGAAACAAATAACCCCTTTTATCTTTTATCTTTTATCTTTTATCTTTTATCTTTTATCTTTTATCTTTTATCTTTTATCTTTTATCTTTTATCTTTTATCTTTTATCTTTATCTTTTATCTTTTATCTTTTATCTTTTATCTTTTATCTTTTATCTTTTATCTTTTATCTTTTATCTTTTATCTTTTATCTTTTATCTTTTATCTTTTATCTTTTATCTTTTATCTTTTATCTTTTATCTTTTATCTTTTATCTTTTATCTTTTATCTTTTATCTTTTATCTTTTATCTTTTATCTTTTATCTTTTATCTTTTATCTTTTATCTTTTATCTTTTATCTTTTATCTTTTATCTTTTATCTTTTATCTTTTATCTTTTATCTTTTATCTTTTATCTTTTATCTTTTATCTTTTATCTTTTATCTTTTATCTTTTATCTTTTATCTTTTATCTTTTATCTTTTATCTTTTATCTTTTATCTTTTATCTTTTATCTTTTATTTGTCCCAAAATTACCAGCAACAACGACCTTGGAAAACACTAGCAACGCAACACAACTCGTCAGGTGTATTCATGACCAATGTCAATGGCGGTCGCCTATCTGTACTTCTGTAGTCTTACTAGTTTAGCGAGCGATTTAGTAACCGCATCCCGATTGCTGTACGGCCGAACACTGATGTAACCTGACTTTGAGGTTTTCAACTTTAGTCACTAATGACTTAGTGATAGGAGTAGGTAGATTGATTTTTGGTACTTGTATCATAAATGCACAAGGAAAGAATAACATGGATAAGCCATTTTCCCGGAAAGTAATTCCGGTAGTCCCGGATTCAATTAAATATTGTTAATGTTGGTAGTGATATTATTCCTACCTAAAATTTAAAGAAAAGTATCAAAAGTATTCAACAAATAAATAATGACATAAATTATGTCATTATTTATTTGTTGAATAATAATAACAATGTAATTCCGAAGTAAACGAGTAAGCTACCTGGCATGTCATCGGCACCCATGATCCTTTGTTCTGATTGGTCGTTGGGTTCTGTCAAATCGTGACTGAGTGCCGTTAAAAAAATATGAAGAGTAATAAAGAATAATATTGTTCCACTCTAGCAGAATACATAAAATTCCTACATAAGTTCCGGTTTTTTTTAATAATGCACCACCATATTAATGATACATTTCGGATCAATGACGTCATTTCAATCTACCTACTCCGATCACTGCAAATGACCTACCCGCATTTTGCAGTATAATATAAGTATATAGGTAACTACGTGATACAGCAAAGTATAAAAAGTCAATTGTTTTTCTCTAGACTAGGAAGTGAAGCATGACCTACCTACCTTGTTAATCTATACTTTCATAATATAGAAAAGTGTTGCTTTTTTTGATAATAACTTCCTGTTAGTTTACGACGCCATTTCTGAGTATTATTGAAATCTGTCATCGATTGTTATCGCTGTCTATTTCATTATCGCAATATCAAATATCAAAGTCCATAGTCCAAAGTCCATTGTGCCAGCATTTGTAACGATTCAAGTGCGTGATTTATTTTCAAATTGGGAATTAAGTATATTTAATATTTTTGTGGCTTTTGGATATGTAGCACCTAACTATCGTGAGACATAAAAAAATATTTAAGTACGTGAATTGACTGAGAAAAGCTCTACTAGTTTCTGAGACTACAGTTCAGAGTCATAACGGAACTAGACATACAATACTTTTTTGTTATACCTATTTTGTTGTGTTGTATGTTATAAGTATGTTTTTACAAAATTAAAGTCTAGCAGTAAGATTCTTACTGCAAATGATGTCTAATTAGGATAGTCTTCGAACATACTCGACTAATTTCTAGTTGCGACCAGGGCCCGTAATCAGCAACATTACTCCAATAATCTAATTTAGGTAGTCTCGCGATGATTATAAAAATGATAATATTTATTTATTTAGGTATGTTTTTTATTAAGTATTTCTTATTTTTCTAAATATCTGTTAAAATTTTGTTACCAGGGCATCCCATTGTTTCGACATGCAAGGCTGGTTGCGTACTGACACCATACAGATGACAGCTGTGCAGCAAAGAGCAAGGAGAATCGTAGCGTCATGGCTGTCGCAATAAAATATATAAAATTAGAAATTACAATTTTATAACAAACTACTGAAATAATTTACCAAAACAAAGTGACAGTATTTCGTACTTATTTACGTTTTTCTTTATTTTACCTTAGTTTGTAGGTACTTAATGAATACTTAAATTCGGAAAATGTTCACAAACGTTTTCCTTGTCTAAGAAACTACTTAATGTTTTATGGCGTCCTCTATATTTATTATCATATTATGAAAGTATGCATATTAAAATAATGTGCTAATATTTTTGTTTATGAGTAAAGTGCAAGGATACAGTATATTATTCACGCCTCGCAAAATCGTTTTGGCTCCAGTTTAAGCTTGAAAGCAATCGGGCAGCCCCGTAGGTAATACGTCATTCCCTGAAGACGCAATTAAGCGTCCACCACCAAATTATTTTTATTCCCTCATATATCATATCCCTATCCATCCCTACCCATATCCCTTTTCAGTTTGAGACATCGTGTCCGCATTTTTTGGAAAGAATTTCATAAAATAATTCCATAGATACCTACTTACACAAAAGAATTTGTCAAAGACCAAAACGATAAATATGTCTTTGAAGTGGCCAAAATCACCCAAACAATTACGAAAATAGACCCTTTGCATGTTTATCCCAATGACCTTTTGTATTTCTATACTCTAGGTACTTCTCTACTCGCTCTAATTATTTTAATAAGTATCTATGCATTATCGTTATCGCTCAGATTGATAATGTACCAGCATATTTTTGGATACTTTGCTTATCAATCGATGAATCGTTCGGTACTGACAAAGATTACACTCGACGGCCAGACAGAACTCGAAAAACCGCGCAGTAAGCAGTTGTGTTTCATATATTTATCTATTTATTTGCGAAAAAAACTACTAATAAAATGGTAAGAATATCTTATAAGGTTAACAGAAGAATTTTTACTAGAATAATCGTAGATACATTAAATTGTGTAGCCTATTTGGAATTGTGTAGATATTTTGGTTTAGTAGACACTCAGTCAGTAGTGTTCTAACTAAACTTCAACAAAGCATTGGTAAACTTTAACTCAAGCGCTAAAACGGAAGTGAAGTGCTTGAAAAAGTGATTGTTTGAATTACTTAATTCTTTGAGAGTTTATCTTTTTATTTTTTGGACGTATGAGGACATGAGAATTTGTGACTGATAATTCTAAGTCAAGTTGAAGCGACTTATTTCCAAGTGGTTTATTGTGAAGAATCTTTATAAAAATTGCGATAGGTAGTGCTATCTTGATATTGATGCAATGTCTAGGGTACCATAGGTCACGGGGCAGACCACTTCTTAAGGTTTCTACATTATGGTGCAAGCGTGTAAAGTAGGTGATTACCGCCGAGGCGCATAGAGTCTTGGCACCGACTTCAAAATTATAAAATAGTTATTAAATATTATTTTCTATTTAACTTAATGAGATGATAAATATTAAATTTATTTTTGCTCTTTAGTTTACTTTTTGTTTTTTTTTTTTGTTAAAAATTATTTATTTCACCATTTTAAGTGATAGGCAGAGAAAGCTAGAATGCTTCTAGAAAGAGAACGACGGCTACTTGAGACCGAAAATCACAGTAATGGTAAGTAGTCCTGAGTTAGTCAGCTTTCAGTGCTGTAAATCGTTGAGATATTCCGTCGAATGTCAATGACCATAAACTGCAGACATTCATTATACATAATCCATATAGGTGCAAAGTACTCATCAATATAAATGAATTAAGTCCAAACACAACATAACCATTCCAAATAGTCAAATAGAGATCCCACGACGGTAATCCGGCTGCATCATCACGATTTACTGCATAACTTCATTGTAATCCATATAGATGCAAAGTTTTCATCAATATAAAATGAATTAAGTCCAAACACGAGGTAGTTACTGTAAACCATTCAGGAGTTCCCTGAGCTGACCTTCGTTCTTATCATCAGACACATAATGACAGTCACGACAAATCTTGGTGCAAAGTGCTCACCAGTACAAAACATTCGAGCCCAAACACAAGGCAACTACTCCAAATAGTCCAGGAGATCCGTCGACTGTCTTCCAAAGTTCCCCTCGATTTCTCTGACCTTGCTTTCCTGATCATGGGACCATTCTGAGACTATCTCCTTTCAGAGATATCGAACAAACATAAAAAAAGCATATATACGGTCGAATTGAGAACCATCCTCCTTTTTGGAAGTCGGTTAAAATATGTTTTTTTTTTTGAAGCCCTTCGCGGTTGTTATTTTAACGCAAGTGTAAACGTAACTCATCCTTTAATTAAACAAAATACTCTATTACTCAGTATTAGTGAATAATATCTAGTAATGAAAAAGTCACAGTTGATAATAGGTGGGATAAGCCAGTTTATGAGGAAGAGTATTGAAAAGTATTTTATATAGTTTCAGATATTCATCTTTCTTCTGCTAAGTCTGGTCTCGACATCATGTGCAAAGAAGGAACCCAAGATTGTGGATATGTTCGCAAGCATGAAAATTTCCGAGAAGAATGAAAGTTTGTCTGCGAGAAATGTTCAAACCAGCTACTTGGTGATGCCTGTTGATCACTACAATCACCTTAATTCAGATACGTTTCGTTTGGTAATGTAATATTTATGTAATAATCCATTATGTGTATAGGCATATAGGTAAATACTATTAATTCAAAACTGCTAGAAGGTATTTGTATAATTGAAGTTTTGTCTGAACTCTAATTCAGGCTATTGAAATCAATGCTTAAATTTTAACTAGGTACCTATTTATTGATTACTTATTTATTACAAACAATAATACATAATATGAACATAAGCATACTTTTTTGAAAAAGGAACCGGCCTTTAGACGCTTCGCCTCGGCGAAAAACATAAATGTTCTTAAATTATATGTGCCTACCCTAATAAGCATAAGCTAGCTTCGTTACCCTGTGGGGACAGGCAGAACAGAAACTACAGAACCGAGTAACTCGTTAGGTACCTACTTGCACAGACTTCTTAACCTTACATTATTATAATAGATATCCATTTGCACCAAAGCATTCCTTTTCTGTGATCTTTTGAATAAGGTCAGCACAATATGTTAGCCTAGGTCGTGACACTATGTCGTGTCCTATTAAGTATTTATTTTTGTGTAAAATGTTAACTATAAAGCATAATAAAATAAAAAGCTGTGTTAGGTACCAGCTTTATAAATGGCCACATCCTGCTTGTTTGGTGAAACCTTATTAATAGGAATCCTTGTACAATATTCATATTAAAAATTATTAAGGTTTAGAATTAATAATAAACTTTAACTAAAAAACAATCAATGTAGAGGTACCGATTTATTCTCAATCTCTTATATCAATTCTTTTTATAGAGATTTATGTACAACGAAGAATTTTTTGGTGGCGATGGTTCTCCGATATTCGTCACGATTGCTGGAGACTGGCACATTTCTCCCAACTGGTTGACCAGGGGAAACATGTACGAAATGGCAAGACAGAACAAGGGATATCAAGTATATGTCGAACATCGATATTATGGAGAATCTCAAGTTTTTGAGTAAGTTGAAATCCATTACTAATTTGACAAATGAAAACTCAATCAAATACCCAACCATTTAGTATTTTGTAACTAAATTGGATATTTTTTTGGTGTTTACCAATGAAATTGTTTAAGCTACTGTAAAGTATGTTTTATTATAAACAAAAAAAAAATACATAAATAAAAATATTTTTTTTTATTTATAAGCCAAAAATATCTTTGGCTCAATCAAAATTATTTTTGGCAAGTATCTACATAGTTACTGACCTTTGTAGATACCTACTAAAATGATAATTTCATAGATTATCTGTAGACTGTAGTGTGTCTGCACGGTTGATGTATTGGTTGAGCAAACTGTTATATGTTGTACCTATTCCTATTTAGACCTAGGCGTTCCTCGTGTATTGTAACAGCAGGCCGTCTCCCGCGAAAATAAAACATTTGAGCCTAATTTATTATTTGTTTGTACACAGGAAATTAACCATAGAAAACCTTCGTTTCTTAAACGTAAATCAGGCGCTTGCCGACCTAGCATATTTCATTGGAGAGTTGAAGAGACAGCCTCGCTTCGCAAACAGCAAAGTTATACTGTACGGACCAGCTTATGCTGGCAAATTAGCGTTGTGGTTTAAGAAGCGATATCCTCACTTGGCGGTCGGCTCCGTTGTATCCAGTGCCGCAATTTTAGCTAAAGTTGACATCGGTGGTTAGTATAATATTCTAAACTGTTCACCTATTTGTAAATCTGATCATTAAACAGTAAACGCAGTAGCTGAGCAACCGGCTGCAGCGCAGTATATAGCGGGTTTGATGTCCGCACAAAACATTTCGTACTTATTTCGAGAAATTCGTAATTTTTTCTTTGGGTCTGTGTGAATTGTTTGTTAATATTGTGCTCGGACATGGACCCATAGAAAGTGAAAAATCTAAACCTATCTATACATAGGTAGGTACTAATATTATAAAGCTACTTATACAAATCTTATAAAGCTGGAGAGTTTGTGTGTTTGATCGTGTTAATCTATACTTATAATAAATCTGTAGAGAGGTCAATTCTGTACATGAAATATATTTTCAAAATAACTATCAGGGGATGATAAGTGATCGATACTGATGCCAAAAGTGCAATCACCAAAATTTTTGTCTGTCTGTATGTTCCCTATAAAAACAAAAACTACTCGACGGATTTCAACGAAACTCGGTACAATTATTCTTCATATTCCTGGGCAGGTTATAGGATGCTTTTCATCACGCTACATTTAATAGGATCAGAGCAGTGAGGGGAAATGTTGGGAAAACGGGAGAAATTACTGCATTTTTTAAGCTTACACCGCATGTGCAGCCTTAATGGTTAAAGTTAGGTACATAGAAATCATGTAGGTATCACGGGAATATTCAACATAAAATTATCTACAACAGTATATGTTTTTGTATTATGGTTGACTCACAATAACACGTGTAACTCCTGATAGATTGCCAGGAACTTGTTTCAATGTGTTGCTGTAAGTTTTCCTCAAAAACCTGTCTATCTGTCTGTGTCTGCTTCACACCTAAACTACAGAACCGATTTGGACAAATATTTCTACAGACATAGTTATAGACTCGAGAAAGGGCATAGGATAGTTTTTATTTTGGGAGGAGAACTCCCCTATTCCCGTTCCCTACGGGATCGGGAAATATGTGGGTAAAACACAAAATCTGTCAGAAATCACTATTTCACGCGGACGTAGTCGCTGGCAGAAGCTAGTTATTAATAAAATTATTGGTATTAAAATTTGGACTATTGATTCGAATCTATGAGAGTTCCCGTTTGCCAATAGCCTACTGAAACTTAAGATAAAATTTACCTACGTATTGTAGAGCAACTGGAAGTGGTGCATGAGGCTTTCTTGCTGGAGGGAGGAGAACAGTGCATAGCACATATTCGAGAAGGAATAGAAGAGACAGTTGCTGCCCTGAAAACCGAAAGTGGAAAACGCATCGTTGAAGAAGTGTACAGGTTAGAAAACTTATCTACATACCTTCTCAACATTTTGTTTTGTTTGCCTATAGGTAAAAATGTAACTACCTATAGGTACTAAGGTAATAATGTAAACTAAAATGTTTTTTCTAAACTAATCTACATATTGTTTTTATTTTAAAATCTTTATTACAAGAAACAACCCATTTTACACTAGGTAACTTGGTTTTTAGCTACCTAATCTACGAGTACCTAACTAGCACCCGGTTTCCGAAAGGCCGATAAATGTTAAAATCAATTTAATCTCTTGTCAAATTTATCTGATTGCTTGCCTGAATTATCAAAAACCAATCAGATGACTTGACAAGAGATTTAATAGGCGATTAGTTAATTTTAGCGTTGACAAGCCTTTCAGAAACCGGGTGTAGAGGTCTAGACCTAGGTACCTACTACCTACTTACATTATTTTTTAATGTTTTTTTTTCGTTTTCAGTTTATGTGACCCATTGGATAATGCCATGGATTTGGGCCGATTTTCAGGCATAATAGCTTGGACTTTTATAAATTTCGTACTGAATTCTAGACCGGGACAAATAAAAGACATATGTAAAAATTTCGACGGTAACAATTATGGTTAGTGCCTTATCTATATAATCGTTTTGTAAAAGATTGGTACCTATACTTATGCGATCCCTAAACCCAGGTGCTTACCAATTATGCTGACAGGCCACCACAGATGGGCTCAATACGACCGATGTTCAGACGGGATTGCGGATCAAGCGCGATAATGTACTAAGGAACAGGTTGTTGGAACGGTGAAGTTTTTGTTTGAGACGAGAATCAAATACTTTCTTTCGCCCAGGGTGAGGCGAGAGGGAGTGTCAGACTCTTACTAACTTTTATTCTACTGCTTTAGGCCGAGGCCGTGCACCTTAATGCGCTAGCCCCGCAATGCCGGCTGAACATTGGCGCTGTAGGGCTCCTTCTGTGGTGGTCTATTAGCTATTTGAGGCGCACGCGGAACTCTACGCGCCGCGCGCTATATCTATGATCGAGCATTGTCTGGTCGAGCTACCCTTGTTCGCAGACCCTCGCTTACGGTGGCAAGTCAGCAAAAGTCTGACACTCTCTTTCGCCCCACCCAGGACAAGAGAAGTGATGTTGTCCCCATCTCAATAAAAAAACCTTGGTACCAATTAATTTTAAAAACTTTTGACGACCTACTTTGAATGTATGTAAGGTACGCTACCTACTATTTCGACAAAAAAAATGATGTACATCTATGGGCAGTTTTGATTTAAAGTTTATTGGGATACTTATCTACATTTGTATTATTTACCATTTATTACTATTATTAGGTACCATTAAATACCAATGCCAAAATTACAAATTATACTTACTAACAATTGCAGGAACCACTCCAATGCAGCAAATTGCTGGATTCGTAGCAGCAGCCACAGGAACAGAAACGGATATCACCTGTTTTAGTTCTTCTTTCGAAGTTTTTATTAATTTATACATGAATATGGATAGTAAAAGTAAGTTACTACTTAGACTATTTACCTACGTACTTTCTATATACGTACCTACTTAGATTATTTTGAGGTTGTGATAACTGTAAAACCTACTGGATTTTTGACGATACCTAAATCTAAAAAAAGGTGGAATAAAAATCAAGCTCATAACAAAAATAAATACTTTTTCCAGTGTCACATCGTGCAATCCTTTTCCAAACATGCACTGAATTCGGTTATTTCCAAACTGCACCCAAATCCGGCACTGTGTTTGACGACCTGACATGGCTTAACATAGACTTCTATAACGAGATATGCCTGAGATCTTTTGATAAAAGGTAAGGTAGTTTTTTAATCTATTACTCAACTTCATTACGGATTAGGTAGCAATATTAAAAAGAAGAAAAATATTACTACTTGTTGATGATTTTATATTTATTATAGATAGTATCTATACTAGCAGACCCAGCCACGCGTTGCTGTGGTTTTACCTTAGTTTACCTTAGTAAATAATATTGTGACTATAAATTGATATGTTATATGTATAGCTATCCTATCTTTCAAGTTGGATCAAAATCCACACGGAATTTAAATCGGTTTTAGTAGTTTAGGAGTCCATCGCGGACAAACACGTGACACGAAATTTTTTATATAGGTTATTATATATAGGTTGCTACATGGTTTTGTAAATATCTCTTTGATGATTTGTAATACATAGTTTACAAAAATCAATGCCGCTTTTCGGTGTAAAGTTATAACTCAACAATGCCCTTACCCATTTGGCTAAATTTGGCCTTGAATTATTCGTGGAAATCCAGCGAAGGTTTGTTTGTTTGTTTTCACAGATTTAATCCAGAGTTTGTGCATGCCGCTGTTGACCGAGTGAACTTAGCATTCGGTGGACTCTCGCCTGAGGTGAACAATGTCATCAACATTCACGGATATTACGATCCTTGGCGGCCGCTCGGTGTTTACAAGGAAGATATTTCAGAAACCTCTCCTACTTTTACCGTGGACAGGTAAAAATAACATATAAACATAAAACTTTAAAATTTCGCGTAGCATATTAATACTGTACTGTTGCTGCCCTGAATGCCTGCAGTCTGCTTGTAACCATACAAGCAGACTGCAGGCATGTGCGCGTTTAATCCCGTAAAACAGTAAATACTAACATATAAGTAATATGCATATGGGTGTACGCTGTTATAAAAGCGGTAAGACTGCTCTTGAGGAGTGGCTTGAAAGACGTCATGGCGTCCTCACCTTCCGCCTGACGCCGGTGCTTAACGGGCACGACAGCTTCGGTAAGTTCCTGTTTCGGATCGACCGGGAGGAAATGCCAGAGTGTCGTCGTTGTGAGGACCCAGAGGATAAGGTGACGGTGTGCCCTGCTTGGGCTGAGCACCGCCGTGTCCTAAGGGAAATGATCGGCGGAGGTGACCTCGCTGGCACCCGGCCTTAGTCAAAGCCATGATGCGGAGCGCGAAGAAATCTCCTTTTGTTAATAAGTTACGCTTTCAAACAAGGAGGCGGAGCACGCGCGTTAGGGAGCCAAATCCGAGCGTACGGTGCGGTAGCGTTCCATGCGCGCCTCGAAAGAGCTAAGGGCTTGTACACAAAACTGCGATGCGACATCGCATCGCAAAAATCTGCGAGCTCCCTCTACGCATCGCAAGAACTTGCGAATCGATTCGCATCGAGCATTCAGTAATGGATGAACCCAAAATCTTCATTGTTTCTTTTTCTGTATCTTCTAAGGCGTGCGTTCGTGCAGCGGAATGTTGTTGAATTTAAAGATTTTAATTATGCAGATATTTAGTGTATGACGTCGTATAATTGTGTATGGTAAAAAAAAAATTGTGCACGAAACCATTGTGGAGAAATTCACCAAAAACTGATTCCGCTGGGCGAACGTTGTCCTGGCGGAACTTTTCTTAATCCATAGAATTTAGAAGAAAAGAGATGTATCCAAAAATTTGTGTGTATTTGTGTATGTATGAATAAAACTAGTGCATGCATAAACTTCGGAGAAATTCAAGTTTCCGCTACGCGAACGTTTGGCCATTAGCTAGTTTTCATATAAAGCGCTTACATAGAGAGCTGTAGATTTTTACATACGTTGTTTTGAATTTGTGTATATTTGTTTAAAAAACAGATTTAGAAAAAATCGTAGGGTTTAAAAGATAAAAATATAAACGTAAAATACGCTTATTAGGTCTTAGTTCTTAAAGTATGCACTTTAAGGTCTAGATTTTCACGTTTATACAAACCTTGTAAGTGTCTGCAACATGTTGCCAAGTATCAATGATGTTCCGTTAGTAATTAAATAGTTATAGGACAAATTTACCATGAATAGATCACTGTTTACAAAGCAGTCAAATATCACGACGTTCTAAATGAATTGCATGGTAAAATGTATGCCAGTAATTAGTGTATTCATTCAACTATTCACATGCATAATTTCATGTCATTTAATTCAGTAATTAAAGAAAAACAATTATAATACTGACGAAGCATCGAAAACCTACATAACCCGACCAAGTTCGGATGGCTACAAAAAAGCGGCCGTGCCATATATCTAAGAAACGTTCTTAACTTTCCAATATAGCATTTATTAATATGGTACAGTATCGTACACAAGCGTTAGGAAAAAATAAAACACAGTATCGTACACACGCTCGTGCATGCCTTGTCTATTGGTTAAATAGTGTAATAAAAATATTGGTTAACACACCTCGACGCACCTGTGCGTTCAATACATTAATGTATAGAACGCACAGGTGCGTCGAGGGCACACAGAGTAGCGTAAGGAAACGCACATACGCGTCGGGGGCACTGAATGTGTTAAATAGTGTAATAAGCTACAATATGATAAATATTTACCTAAACAGTAGTACATACTTACATGTGGTAAATATTTAATTTCCCTAAGGGGTCTATAGTTAGAATCCTGATCCGTGATATCTTCAATAGAAATTAGCTGTATGAATTTTATTTGTCTTAAATATAATTAGATTATATCTCAAGTCTCAAGCGCATACTTAAATAAAGTACCTACGTAAATAGTATCTACTTTCTGTCATAGTCAAATACATTTAAAAGAGTAGGTGTCCAAAAATAAATGACCTATACATTATTTCGAAAAAACTAGTGTGTTATCACCTGTACCAATTCAATACCGGTATTATACTGTAAATTTTGGGATGTTACCTAAATATATTGCACAGCCGCTTTTTTGTAGCCATCCGAACTTGGTCGGGTTATGTATGTAGGTTTTCGATGCTTCGTCAGTATTATAATTGTTTTTCTTTAATTACTGAATTTAATGACATGAAATTTTGCATGTGAATAGTTGAATGAATACACTAATTATTGGCATACATTTTACCATGCAATTCATTTAGAAAGTCGTGATATTTTACTGCTTTGTAAACAGTGATCTATTCATGGTAAATTTGTCCTATAACTATTTAATTACTAACGGAACATCATTGATACTTGGCAACATGTTGCAGACACTTACAAGGTTTGTATAAACGTGAAAATCTAGACCCTAAAGTGCATACTTTAAGAACTAAGACCTAATAAGCGTATTTTACGTTTATATTTTTATCTTTTAAACCCTATGATTTTTTCTAAATCTGTTTTTTAAACAAATATACACAAATTCAAAACAACGTATGTAAAAATCTACAGCTCTCTATGTAAGCGCTTTATATGAAAACTAGCTAATGGCCAAACGTTCGCGTAGCGGAAACTTGAATTTCTCCGAAGTTTTATGCATGCACTAGTTTTATTCATACTACACAATTACACACAAATACGCACTAATTTTTGGATACATCTCTTTTCTTCTAAATTCTATGGATTAAGAAAAGTTCCGCCAGGACAACGTTCGCCCAGCGGAATCAGTTTTTGGTGAATTTCTCCACAATGGTTTCGTGCACATTTTTTTTTACCATACACAATTATACGACGTCATACACTAAATATCTGCATAATTAAAATCTTTAAATTCAACAACATTCCGCTGCACGAACGCACGCTCTTCTAAGCAATAATAAAAGTGCACCTTTCTTTTTACTATCCATGTCACATCCAGTTTTCAATTCAAAATACGTTTAGTACGGTTAACGGTCGTCGTAGGAATGGTCACCCTGGGAGACGCAGAGCCGCACAAAATCGCATCGCAGCAATTTGTGTCGTAATTTTCTGCGTTGCGAATTCGCATCGCGTCGCATCGCAGTTTTTTGTACAAGCCCTAATAGACCACTACAAACACTATAGAGCTGATGTTAAGTCAGGGTTGCGGGGTAAGCGCAATGAAGTACCGCGACCTTTGCCTAGAACAGTAAAAGGAACGGGGGAGGGGAGGGGTTAGTCAGTAGGTAATACAGACACTTCCTCTCGCCCCACCCTGGGTGGGAGAAGTCATTTGATGATTTTCCCCTGACAAAGAAAGGCCCTATAGTTAGTAGGCTGTTTAGGCGGGATTGCGGGGTAACCCTGACAATAAAAAAAAAACATTTTTTGCTAAAACGATAAAGGACTGCTATCACCTTGGAGGTACTATGACTGTGACTTATAGAAAATATGTGAATCTTATTTCTACAAAATACTCTGTTTCTTTCCCAGGGCATCTCATTGCTTCGACACGATAGATTGGGAACCTAGCGACGACACCGCCGACATGATAGCTGTTCAGCAAGAAGCAAGGAGAATAGTAGCGTCTTGGCTATCTGATTAAAACTCATTTTAAGGGTTTTAATTGCTGTGGTGAACAAACAACATCAGTACATCTAGAAGCCCAGAAAATGCTCCCAACAATCTCACATTCACCATTACATGTTATGCTTTCCTTTTCGCCCCGACGTGGGAGGTAGCACTTTTGAATGAAAAAGAATAAATTCTAAAAATCAAAGTTGTATCTACTGTCACGCGTTTTCACCGATATAATGTTTATAGCCTATAGCACTCAGGAACATTATAGCTATCTATGAGTGAAAGAATTTTTAAAATTCGACCAGCAGTTCCATATATTACCCCCTCCCCTGCATACAAATCTATAATTTACATCTTTATAATGTTCGTATAGATTAATCAATATAAAATTGTGTAGGTATCTAATAAATGTGTTTCTTAAATCTCTTTTCTTAATTTTTCATATCATGTTCAGTATTTCTTTACCACTGTGTTGTCGGACCAGTCATGTTAATAGATACAGGAAAATTAATTCGCAGTTTTTATTTCACTGTTGTTTCACAAAATAAATCGAAAACGTGCCAATATGTGCTTTGCAATTTTGACAGCGACCTAGACACTAAAATACTTAATCTCCCAAGGTTAACATTTCATAAATATAAATACCGTGTGAATAGGTGCGACAATATTATGTAAATCGCAAAATTTACCAAGCAGCAAGCTAAAATAAAAATCTACCTGTTTATAAATTATTTTAAGACTAATATTTAGCAACAGCTACTTATTTCTGAGGGGTCTATTTAGAATTGGATTCAAAAATGAAAGTGTTTTGTTTCTCCCGCTAGTTATTCGGGAAGACATAATTTTATTAAGTTTAAATTCCACAATCTGACAAATTGATATAATCCACAGAAGTTAATCAGAAACTTTTAACAGGTCAAAGATGAAACAGATCAAAAAATATAATCGGAAATACTCACTAACCGTCCTAAGCAATAGTTTAAAACTATGTTAATTCCTAATGTCAAATGTACGGTTAGCATTTTGCCTAATTAAAACTACCGGCGGAATTACATTAAGGAGTAAATGCACAGTGCACTACTGCCCTGGTCTAGTCGGTGTGTTTTCAAAATGGCTCTTTTCCACGTCAATCCTTTTTGGAAACACAACACAAATTGTGCTACGCGTGAGATAGTACCAGCTGTCACAATATACGTGTCATTTTAAGTAAGGCGTTATATCTACTAACATTAAGTTTCAATAACATTATGGACAACTTCTCCTCGCAGCACTGACAAATTTGCAGTGAAGCGAAGGACGGCGGAACGAGCTAGCGGGAGCTCCGTGCTCGTTCAACCGGCACTCGCTCTACTGTGACGCGACCAGAGAAGTAGTCTACTCTACCGAAAATCATAGCACTTACATCGTAAAGCGTACAATGAAGAACATTCGAGATTGTAGGCAGTCCAGATTTAAGTTGTACATAAATATAAAATCATATTACTTCATTATCACTGGAAAGTTCATTTACTTAACAATAAAAACAATTGGGCAGTGTAAAAAGCAAAACAAGTTTAGGAAACTGAACATATATAATCTTAAATAAATAGGACTGCCTTTAAAACCCCTGAACTAACTCAAATTCAGAAATGACGGCACCATGTTAAACCTATGTTTCTAATAATCTAAAGAATACTTAAAATATAGAAAGAACCTCGTAAATGCAACCGTCACGTGATTTCACAGCGTCGCCCACAGTTCCACTGGCGAGGTTCGTCACATACATATTAATGTCTAAAGAGAGACATCAGCGACATTCCCTGCGCCCTCGCTACAATTACACACGTAGATTAAGTGTTTATAACATACTGGTGAAAATATTTACAATGGTCTAATTAATGCTCAAGTTGCAAGTCATTCTACAACCAATGGTTTGGGATTCTCCCACGGAAAGCCTTCTCGTCCAAAGTGGCCATAAGTACTGGTTTTCTGATATATTGGTGCCCTCAGGTTCAATTCCCTAAAAAGAGATAGTTAATTTTAGTATTGTATCAAAACCGATGATTTATATAAGACAATCATAAAAAAGGGGTAATAAACTTACTTGACAATCTTGCCTGGTCGGAGGTCGAAGTTCTTCTGTACAATGGCAAGTAGTTGCTGTTGGGTCTTGTGTGAGGTGCCATAATCGAACACCGTGATAGACAGTGGCTCAGCCACGCCGATAGCATAGGCAACCTGAAAATTAACAAATATTCTGTGAGCCTTTCGAAAATAAAGTTACTTAAATTTTCAGTGTTGATGGGTAAATAAGATCATTTGGGTCCTGAGAAACAAAAACAATAGCATCGTATAAGGTAAAACGGGAAAGGAAATACATAGGAATCATATAGATTTGCATCAACATAATTAATTTGAGTCACAGAATAGATAGAAGAGAGTAAAGTACAAGGCGGCGTTAATAGACAGTCGCGACAGATACGTCAGCGGAAACCCGTCGCCATTACGCACACAATCATAGTGCCAACACTTGCGCAAGTCTGACGTATCAGCACTACCTTGTACATACTTGTATATCAACAAATTAACGCATTATTTATTTGGGTTTTCTCTTTAGACAAATTTCATGTGCTTTATAAAATAATATTAAATACATCGTCACTTTTAGTCTCTCTCTAGTTTATGTCTGTGAATTGAAATTGTGATGGGAAGATGTGACTGAGTCTTGAAATCCACTTTACCATACCTCATTCATTAATAATAAATTGGTTTTCGAAGACGAAGGTTCTACAAGTAATTCAACATTTTTTACCTGCACCATGCAACGGCGGCAAAGTCCGGCCTTAACGAGTGACTTAGCGACCCAGCGCGCAGCATAGGCGGCGGAGCGGTCTACTTTGGTGAAGTCTTTGCCTGAGAAGGCGCCACCTCCGTGCGCGCCCCAACCACCATATGTGTCCACGATGATCTTACGTCCCGTCAGCCCTGCGTCCGACTAAACAAACATTCCAATATTTAAATAATATTATAATACAAGTGATCCTTGCTTAGTCACAATGTCTAAGAATGAATTGAGATCTCGATCATTTAAAAAATGGGTAAATACTTTTTAGGGAGTTTGAATTTAAAATTTATTGATTGTTTTCGTATAATGTTCTCACCTGGGGTCCTCCAATGATGAACAAACCGCAAGGGTTGATGTGAATCACGGTCCTCTCATCGAGGTAGTGGGCAGGAATCACTTCCTTAATGACCTTCTCTCTGATTTCTTCACGCAGGGTCTCCAGTGTAATCTATACGATATAACCATAATATAAATAAAAAATACATGTCATTATAGTTCAAGGAATTTTTGATATATCTGATTGTAGGTATGTACATTAAAATGTTTACATTTATTACATAAAGTGTGATGCGAGCACTTGATAAATTTTTAACCTAAAAGTTATCTCCGTGAAATGGACACATTAGTAATGCTATGGTTCAGTAGTGCGTAAGTTTTATCAAGGAAATCACTCGTGTGCTAAGAAAATTATTCACACGTGATAAGACAAATGATGAAATATTACATAAAAAATTCATGGAAGAAAGCAATTTTGCAAATTGCTTTGATAGAAATAATTGATTTCTCTTTAATGTTCCGTGTCTTGATTGTGTAGAATACAAAGTACATACACACTGCAGACATTAATTATATTGCAAACAGAATTTTACCTTTTCGGAGTGTTGTAGGGAGACGACAAGGGTGTGAACTCTTTGTGGCACTGTAGCGCCTCCAGCGAACACGTACTCACATGTCACCTGAAACCAAACAAAAGTTTATGAGAACACAGTCAGTAGATTAACTGCTTAATAGGTAGCAAACTAAAGATGTTATTGAAATTTGACTCGGATAATACGTGGGCCACACTAGTCGACCCCCTGGCAGAGCTATTGTTATTCTCGAAGTAACTATCGACGGAGCAGGTTAACTCGGCGATACGATAATGCACACAAAAGAACAATGAAGGTGAAGTTTTTCTTCATTTTTAATTACTATAATGATGTATGTGATGGAATGAATTTTAACTATAATAATAACATACTATTATCAAATCATACTGATTACTATTTTTTATAGTTACCTAGACCTCACACAAAACATACACAATAAATCATACTGCAACACTAAATTCGTCAAAATCGAGATTATAAGCATTATTTTTAACAAAAATCCTCAAAGCTAGACACTTAAACATATGTATTATCTTCGCTTTTATGTGCAGTACATACTCCCAACGTGTTATAATTGACGATCTCAAATATCGCTTGACACTGGTGTCAGTTTTATCACTCAGTCATTAAATAACAATTGATATATAAGACATTGATTACGTCATGCGATCTCTCTAAACAGGAACAGCATTGAAAATGATATTCATTAGTTCTTTCATTTCACTAACCAATAGTGCATGCTCATGACTTAAAGCCAAGCAGCACATTTTTTCATTACATAACAATTTTTACACGACATTTTGAAAAATAAGTATGCATGGTCGAGTTATTGAAACATTACAATCCACTTGTTAAAAAGGGTTAATTGGTCTGCTGGCGACCTCTCGACATCAATGTGCATCAATCAAGGTTACTTAGTTCTACAGTTGTACAGGACTGAGACTGAAGATCAAAATAATGTATTCAAGCATTAAGTATTGTTGTTACAAATTGGAATGACCTGACATATTCAGAACTAAAAATGTTACAAAAAATAACCCTAATTTATTACTAATAGAAAATCTAGTTTCACCCTAAGTTCAGAATTTAGGATATCTTTGCAAAAAATTACTTCATACCGGAAAAATGTTACAGCCTAAAGTTCATTGTTGTTTAAATCACTAAGATAAACCATAGCCAAGTTTACAAAAATAACATAATCTTGAATGAAATAACTTTTACCCTTTGACATTATTGAGTATGCCAAATAGCTGTAGAGGTCAGATAATAGACTATCTGTGTGAGTTATCTGTCTCCATTTGTGACAAATATTGATGTAATTAATATTATTGCGAAATATGTTTTTTTTTAAATCATCGCCTTATCAATTTTAACAAGCAAGGTGAATACCTGCTGTTTACTGGACAGTGAAGAAAATCTAAGAATCCTATTTTTGTATATTTACCTGAGTTTTGGAGTCTGGACGAGCCCACCAGAATTCACCATTTCGCCGCAGCTCTGCGATCTTTTGGTTAAGTCTGTGTGCAAGTACTACTGTGAGAGGCATGCATTCTTCTGTTTCATCTGTGGCATATCCAAACATTAAACCCTGAAAATAGACAAACTTTTGTTTAACACATACCCAAACTGATAATACAAATTAGATTTTTAGCATAACAATAAAATATTTTTTACTTTCTGTATTCTCAAAAACAAAAATCATTAGTAAGTTCTTTTACAGATGCAAATCTTCAGAAAATGTCAAGAAACAAACCTTTTTGTTTAATTTAAAAAACAGATGTTTTAAATAAGACCAAATATTAAATTATTCAATAAAATTCACACACCAATAACATGTCTTCTAAGACATTGACGGTTTTATGGTCATTTTATAAATAAGGAAATAATATTTAACATTGCACAATTCAAATTAAAATTTCCCATGCAGAGGTAACATCAGGTTTATGAATCATGCTGCTTTATAACAATTATAGTTAATTTAATATGAAATATGAATAAGTGTATTATAGTATTTTGCTTGATAACTGCAAGATCATGATTGATGATATCTAAATATCTAATGGAAAAAGAAGTTTTCATGTGAAATGTCTTAACCAGATAAGTAACAACTTTGTTACTATGGATAAGTAAATGATGATAAATTGGCTATTTGTTATGACATAGATGGTTTCATACCTGGTCTCCAGCCCCAACTTCATCATCATTTCTGTTTTCATGCACGCCAGCGGCAATGTTTGGTGACTGCTGGTCCAACGCAAGCATCACGCAGCAGGTCTTGTAATCAAAACCTATTCCCAACATGCTTTATTTAATATTAACTTAATGAAAAAAATATGATTATTAGCATAACAGATCAAGTGAAATATTTTCACGCATCATCATTGCTTGGAAAAGTTAATACTCATGCACTTGACCAATGTGCTGATGCTCAGCTAAAAACTTTGTGTTGGCTGTCCATGAATTTTGATTTGCATGAAATGGAAACCCAATTGATTATGAACATTTCTCAATCTGTAAATCATGCGGAATGTAAACCCATTTAGTTCTCAAAAGCCAATAGACCCAGGAGTTATTCCGTGCAGCAAATTTTCATCAATTTGTACCTGGTCTCCAGCCCCAATATCTAATTCCTCTCTTTGTTGATAGACTCCACCAGCTATGTTTGGACTTTGCTCTTCAATAGCCACTAATAAATTTAGTGTACGCCAATCAAAACCTAGTATGCACGGAATAATATTCAACCATTACTAAGAGTGAAGTTAAATTAGAATTTGTCTACACATTACTGGCTAAAAGCCAAGGAACTGCATCTGTGTACCTCAGGTAATGATGTGATCCAAGGATAATATTTACATACCTTTAGAGGAGTCATCATAACCAATGTGCTTCACTGTCTCTCTCACAACCTTCTGGTAATCAACATTGGCTTTGGAAGTGATTTCACCACACAATAACACCATCCCGGTTTTTGTTACGGTTTCTGATGATAAATAATTCAAGTCAATAAAAAGTATTGCTACGGTTTAAAATAATTACACTGACATCGTGGTTTATCACGACACTCACCGCATGCCACTTTAGCGTCAGGATCTTGCCTCAAATGTGCGTCTAAGATAGCATCACTGATTTGATCGCACATTTTATCTGAAATAAAATAAAAGCATTTTATTCTCTAAAGAAAGTGCAAGTGCATATTAACATAAATTTCATCGTTGTTTAGATCAGACCACGTGTTGCGATTATTTTGACAAATGTAATTTGCAATATACCCGCAAGGTCCATGATGTAACAAAACAATACCATTGTATAAAGCGTGCATGTACATGTGCCATCATTGTAGTACAATCAATAATTTTCGAGGACTAATACGATTAATAATGTAAACAAATGGAATCCTATTTATACCTTTATCTACGCACATGCTAAGGCGGCCATTTTTCACCGAACAAATCCTGCATTAGAAGATATTGAATAAAACTAACCTGGATGGCCCTCGCCGACGGATTCTGAAGTGAACAAAAATACTGATCCTTCTTCCATATCATAACTATGTCCGTTTGTTTTTGCGTATCCATTCATTTTTGAGGTCTCCGGCATTCTGAATTTAGAGTTAGCTCACAAAAATAACCCGAAAGAGTCCCCTTGAATTAACACTGTGGAAAAGAGGTCTGGTTTGTGATCGCGCCGATATTTATAAGGTCGGAGAGGCGCCACAGAGCAATTCCTATACACCAATCAGAATTCTCGCAACCGTCGGCGCTGCTCGCTCCTATTGGTTGAAATATATTGTTTTGGTTTTGTATAATCTGGAATGCAAACGCGGTAAGTTTTAAACATTTGTAATTACGTACGCAATGATAAATAAATTGTAGAGTTTAATTACCGTTTTTATCTAAATTAAGCACATTAATAGTTCTGTTATAAATAAATTAAACTATTGTAGTATTTTTATGTATTTAGAATTAACAACAATAACACAATTATAAAAGAATTATAGCAATCACCTTTGTAAACTAATAAAGTTATATTGTAAGAGAATAGGTACCTGAGTTAAGATAGTTTAAGATGATAAGATAAGATGATCTAAAATTGTGATTTTGAAGAATATATTTTTTTTTAATATTAAAATAATAAATACGGTAAAGTAAACATTCACTAAACACCATAAAAAATATTGTGTCAAACTTTGATTTAACAAACTTAAAAAAATACATACCTTGACCAAATGTTAGCCTTTCCACAAAACACAAGAACAATTTATAGGTAGGTAGGTACTTAGATAACACTTTTTTATAAATACTGTTTTTCTTTAAAGTTTTTTAGCAATAATAATTGTTTAGTTGGGTAGTTTCCCGCGAGAAATCTCGTCGTCAACTGTGAGTAAGTTCGTTGATTCAACTGTACTTAAATACTAACATCGATGATGCATATTTATTTACTTATTCAAGAGCTCGCGACTTTTTGCAAATCATTATGTTGAAAAATATACATAGATAGTTTAAAATATTCTTGTCACTTATTTTTTTCACAGTTAATATCATTACTGTCAAGATGATGTCTTTTGGGGTATTACTATAATTAAGCTCTTCGTTGAGTGCTGCATAGTGTCGTAGAACATTTTTTTTATTTGGATTTATGAATATTTATTAAATTAGGAATTATTCATTTGTGATTGGTGGACCCTATGAAAATTGCCATGGCGTTTTTGATATTGTTTCAATGCCAGAGTTTTGAACTAGGTAGGTACAAATACTTTAAATTCTAGTAATTAAGCTACTTACCAATTTAGAAAATCACTGAGATTTGAAAAGTAAGAGAGAGAGAGAGAGTCGATTTATTGAACCATTTTACGTAAATATCTTTTTAATACTTAAATTAATTAACTTTTATTTTTTTACATTTGTTGCTTCGAGATAATAACCGGATCGAGGGCAAACCACGATAATTTCTGATGTAATTTAGTTCATATTATACATAACGTAGAGCTATTATTTTCAAATAGATATGTAGGTACTTCAACAGATGGATACCTACTTACTAACAAGCTAGAGAGATTTTAATTTTTTAAAAGACATAATTATTCTAGTTTATAAAGACATCGTTTGTCCCAGATATTAAAAGTGTATTTCACCAGTTATTCATTAAAAAAAATTGACATTTCTAAACAAAAAATAATAAGCGTAACAAATTGTGCTACCTATTAGTTGCAAGTTAATTTAAAAAAAAAGTAGACGCAGTGTAGTGCCTATGGTCAAACAACTTAAATAGGTAATAATACCTTTAAGAAAAAAAATTGTGGCTAGTGTCAGGTCTTCAATTTAAAAGTGGCTTCGCCACCGTTATTCGTCGGGTAACATCTATACATATAATGTTGTAAGTACTTAACATAAACTTTCGTGCAGTTTACAGTCACGGCTGTAAGTAAACAATGATAATAATAATTTAAACATATATTTTGATTTAGATATATCTATACTTACACCCATTCATTGATTTGAAATTATAGAGTGAGCTGGCTATGCGTTCCACCGCCATTTTGTTCCATTTTTAAAGTTTGTTTTGTATTCTGAGCTTCCAATAAAAAAAAAATATATTTTTGCTAAGTTTAAGACAGCCTCAATTTCAGAATTAAATAACGTGTCTTATTTTCTTATAAAAAAATATTTATTAAAGTTCTAATCATGACATAGTTGTTTCATGCTCTGAGCTCGAAGGAAAATCCCAGGCGTGAAAATAGGGGGAAGTGAATATATGTACCTAAGTGACATGAGAAGCGCTTTTCCTCAAGATTTACCCTAAAGTCAAGGGGAGCCGGTAAGTAATTAATTCATATTTTCTATGCACTTATAATTCATATTGTATTTGAATAAAAACTGAGGAGTTTTTTTCTAATAATTACCTATAGGTTTATCATAATAGAGTAATTAGGTATTGAGTTAATCGCGAGCAGAGCAGTGTTGGACTGAGGGGATTTAAAATACTTCTGAAGTAGTTTTTACTTTAGTGTGAATAAGTAAATACCAATTTAGTTAAAAAGTGTAAGTAATAGGTTTTTACATTTATAATGATGCTAGTTAATAAATAACTTGAGTCTTATTAAGGAATTCTACTTATTTAGGTAGAAGTCTTATCGAATAGGTGAGTTACTTTATGTCTTAGGTATACTAATATTCAATATAGAGTGAGTGAGTATACTATTGAGGTCATTATTATAAGTAGGTATAAACAGTTAGTCTCTTTAGTTTATTTATTAAGTACCTACTTTCCGGTTTTCCTGAAGTACTTATGTTAGTTTTCCAAATAATCAACACTTTTATCGAAACGCCAAAAACGATACTATTCTATTTATTTTGAATGAATTCGTAATACACGAAATCATATTTTTTTACATCGAGTATAGCATAGGTACCTACTTATTTCTGGAAAGTTTGGAAAGTTTAAGTTCTGGAAAGTTTATTATAAAAATGTAAAACTAAGTATTTCTTCAAATCAATGCTTATGATTATAATTTAAATAATTTATAGTATACCTATCGAAAAGTCAAAATAATTATCTTATACCTAGCAAACTACATAATTCTCAGTAAAAGATTGAATTCGGTGATTGTTGTTTTGAATGAATAGCAATAGATTTGTCACATACTTAATACGATATATTATGAAATAAATTATAGTTAATTATCGCTAAAATGTAAGTATATAAGGCTTATTTTTAAAATGTGTAAATGTCCAATGTGCACCTCTCGAATGTTCAGGCAATTCAATAAATGTATTGCATTTCCTATAACGATATTTTAAGTGTTATGCTGTGTTTTATCTATAACTATTTTATTAATTTACAAACATCGATCACTAATAAAGAACTTTATTAGTTCTTTATTAGTGATCGATGTTTGTAAAAGAACTTTATTAGTTCTTTATTAGTGATCGATGTTACAAATTAGCATGAAGCATACAATGACGGTCTTAATACCTGGTGGCATTATCACACTATCAATATTGGTGTAAGCAAATTATTCTATGAGATATTTTTTGTCATAAACGGCACAAATCGATTGGTCTTTCAAGATTTTTAAGTAGCTTTGTTATAAACCCATCTACGAGTTCCTATATGGTAAGTACCTAGGTTCCAATAACTATGTAGGTCACGTCATCTATAGATGAATAATGTTGAATATTAGGTTCGTTTTTTTAATAAAAATATACGTTATAATACATATACAGCTTAGATTATATTTGACAAAATAAATTTGATAGATTAGTAGTAGCTTTCAGAAACTATGGGAAGATTTATGACTGGTTTCATAGCTAGGCTGAATAGATTGTTTAAACTCAGCCTCACACTGGTATTTTCTTCTGTGACGTGTGTCCTTTTATAATCATACTTTAACATATAGGTTCCTACATCACACAACAACAGTTTTTGGATTTAACTAAAAATAGTTCCGTGAGGATATTAATCCTGCGGCAAGTTGCATAACATCCCAGGTAGCCTGGCGCGTCAACTGTGCAGTTAATTAATTATTAGGTACATTTTGTTAGAATCGACTAATTTATTCAATTTTTTTTCTTCCATAAATCAGATGTTTTATCTATCATTCAAAACTTGAGGACATTAAGAAACCGGCCCTTAATTTTTTTATTATGTAATATTCGATAACGTTTTGTTACCAACTCATTGGAGTATAATGGTGTTATCGGACTTGTATCGAGAAGCATATTCGATACCTCCGTGAATAAACTCGCTTATCGAGTGGCCTGGGAGTCTCCGGCAGTTCACGGCATTAGGGCTATTCAAGCATAAAGTCATCCAAAACAAATGGTTCATTGATAAAACTGTTCAATGATAAACTTTAAACTTTCAAATACACTGTTATCAGGATAACACCTCGATGTTTTGATTCTGACGCAACTTTATTTTGCAATTTTGATTGTATTTTAATATTTCTATAAGTTCTTTTTATTATTTTGCGAAGACGGTGAGAGAATTCTGATTTAGTATGTTATTCGAAATAATGGCTGGAAATGTTAAAGTATTAAATGCTATCTACAACTAGCTTCCCCAAAGGTCACATAAACCTCTTCCGAACTAAATTGTAGTCCTTTATTACAAATAAAACATATAAACAATATAGGTATGTATGTATGTATTTGCTATTGGCAAAATATCTGTTATTTGGTGAAATGCTTTTAGCATTGTTTTGGGTAGAACTTTGTCTCTGAGAGTTCTGATAAGGGTTCGGAGAAACGGATTTTATTTGGTTTCTTGATATCGATACTTACATCGGCGCTTGGTCCACTAAGTGAAACGCATCCATTGATATCGGCCTCTGCTTGGAGGAGCCTGGCAAGCTGTCTCGCTGGCCAGACATGCTGAATACAACACTTGTGACGAATCTTAACAGGCCTAATATGAATCGAGGATACCGG